CTTCAATGAAACATGGGGTGCTATTCGTAAATTGAGACTGACAAGTAATTGATTCAGAATCCGGAGACACCGATATAAGTTTTCTGTGCTTTGAGCACAATCTAAAATAAAAATGTATTAGTTTAAATGAATCGTTAAATGGGGGAGAAAGATCACACCTTCCGCCGATTGTGAATCCTTCTATCCTTGAACACATAGAGAGATTAGCCCGATGACAACCAGAAGCTGGTGGACGATACTTGGAATCATCATCCGGGTGATTGCATCTTGGAAGAACGTCGCACCAGTCGATTCCAAAAAAACTACGATACTTCGGACAAATTGACATGGAATCATCAATAAGAATATTCTTGAGTAGTAATCAGTTCGCAATCAAAAATTTCTCGCTAATTATCATGTTGTCATCTTCTACTTTGTTAATAACACGAAGATTTTGAAAATGTGGTCGAATGTCTCGTTCAGCTAAGTAAGCAAATGTATAACATTGTCGCTTCCAGTCAAAATAATCTAGGTAAAGACTGTAATTATATAAAATAGTTTAGGTAATAAGAATTTCTTAGGATACAGTGATGTTCCGCATGTAGCCACTATCTCTTTACTCCAGAGGCAGCATTGGCCATAATTAACGGGAACCAAAGCCGGTTCAGAATGAAAACTTATGCTTTCTTCTTCAGTGCCCTCGATAAGTATCTTTTCTGAAAATAGACATAGTTTTCACATGAAAAATCTCAAACACAAACCAACTAACCTGGAAATTTGTCTCTTCGATGCTCGTCTTCATTGACAACAATGAGCGGTACATATAGTGTCAACATAGGTGCAGGCTCGATGTATGAACTGGCACCAAAATAATTATCAGTAACATCCTTAGACAAATTATTGCTCTCGATGAGACCATATTCGACAGAAAGAGAACCATTGAAAGACGACATAGTAGAGGCAGAACCTACATAGTTTTATCGCTCAAATTGACAGTTCACTGGCATACACTTTTCATTGGCTGATTAGCACTTCTAATTGTTATTGTTCAACCACTCACGGAGTTCTCACTGTCTCTCGATTGATTTTCAAGCGTATTTGACGCAAAAGAGTTTTATCTTGCATAAGAGTCAGTACCAGTTGACCATGTGCTTTCACATGTGGCGCTGATGGAGCCCACTGACATATTCGAGTAACTAGTGTCTTTCGCTGATGTATTCGAAATACTAGGAGCAAATATTCGCGAGGCTCCATCGTTATTAATAGTTGAATCACTATCTACTCTTCAAAGTAGGTAGGTTGGTACACACGACCAGAACGATAGTATTGATCAGTCATCTTACACGAAAAAGATATTTTTCATAGCGATTTGTTTCTTTTCATCACTATCTTTCATTGCCTTTCTTTCGTCCTTGATTTCGTCGCACTCCATGAACTTTATTTTCATCGACGAGAGCATTTATTGTGAGCAATAGAGACAAAAAATAAAGGTTATTTCTCCTCCCAACAATGCTCCGTTCAATAATGACTCTCCCTTGAGTATAGCACAATCCAATATGCCCATTACTGTCTACTGTGTCAACCATTCTCGTGATCAAGTTGAACATACATATAATATAAACTCATATTCTCCGTCATAATGTTTTTCAATAAAGATTCTCTAGAATCCAACTGCCCCATAATATAGTGGACTCTAACTTAGTGTGAAAATCACATATGTGCCATTGATCATTTTATCACACACCGGATTCCATTCAACCGAACACATTTTTCGAACACTATATATTTCAACACTCATTTCTGACACAACAGGTGTACTGTTAATATTATCTGCATTGAATAATGTAGAATGTATTAATCGATCTAGAAACATTAAATTTGAGCTGAACGCTTCTTGCTACGTGCAGTTCATAAATAGCTTGTACTAGTACTGATTTCGATAAATGATGGGTACCAACAGCATTATGAAAGTTAAAAAGCGATCCCACTTCTATCATAGGTTAATGAGTATAATAATGGTTGAAATAGAAAAATATTCTATCTCTTCCAAAACAGTATACATTTTCACGATATAAACTTTTAATGCCACCTCCGAGCCCCTCCCTCCTCCGCCTTACTAGAATACCAGTCAGTCACATGCAACATATTACCGGCATCATCCTCTCCATGAAAAATTGCTTATATGTTCCAAATATATCATGTTTTTTAGTTTGCGAAGCTCAGCTTGAAAAAAGAAGTTAACCTGTTCAGGGCTCTCGGTGCGCCTCATGCAGCCATGGCTCCCATAGAAATCCCACGTTACTCTTTGCAGAATCTAATAGAACAAAGTCAGGCCTATCAGGGCCAAAAATACAAATCGTTAAAAAACATACAGTTTTTTAGATCGCCACAGCCTAAAAATGCTAATTTAGCACAAATGCTAATTTTGGCAAGATTCGCCTGAACGGAGGTTTTGTCTTGGAAAACTGAAAGTTTCACTAGAATGAGGCATGAGTGATGGCTTTCTATAGATAAAATTTTAGCACTACACTATGTTTTGGTCACGAGATATTAGACCATGAAAATTGATAAAATGATCATTTTTTGCTTATACAAAGGTGTATACAGAAAAGTTAAAATACAACCGTTTCACTTGAATTTTTTTATGGTAAGAGCATTACCCATTGTTAGTATCTACACGAAATTTCAGCTCAATCGATTCACTTTTTCTCGAGATATAGTCATAATACTGAACGGATTCGTTTCAATTTTGAATTTCAGCGCTTTTCGTAAAAATGCAGTGAAAATATTTTGGTTCAATTTTTTTTATTGCGGTTTGCGTCAAACATCATCAAACACTTTTGTCTATCATATATATCAATATGAACAATATCTGAGATACTCGATTGAGCACTGTAGGTCGTGGCTTACGTGCAATGGCTCATATGACGATTATAACTCGAAATTCGAATTCGAAAAAACAGTTGTCCTATTTTCCTATTCTTATAGGAAAGTGTATATGAAAATTATAATTCGAATTAGAAAAAAGCTTTTCCTAGTTTTCCTATTTTCCTGTTCTCGAATGGAAGTGCTGATTGAATTTTTATTTATTTTCGAAGTAACTTTATGTAGTTGAAGCTTCATTTATATTCGAATTCGAATTAGGCATCTCATGAAAAAGTTTCCTCTATCTACTGTTAAGATATGAGCTATTATTTTTGTTAATCACAGATATTTACTTGTGTATTGTTAAGATTAATCAAATAAAAATTTGTCGCTAAAATAATAAAAACTTCAACAAACTAGTTCCAATTCTGCTTTCATGAAACATGAAATAGAATCTATTTTGAAGATTATCCTAATGGTAATAATCTAACTAATTATATTCATTTGATTATCCCAAGCTGTTCCTAAATATACATGCATAGTTTATCGTTGATTTCATTCTCTTTGAAACTCTAGCTAAACATACATAGTGTTTTCCTTTTGTACTAATAGACTACTCTTCAATTTGCGCTATGAGACACTCACCATTGTCTGTTTTTCAGAATATATTGTTGTTCTTGTAAATCTGATACTAACCGTATTTCAGATAATTAAGTTGATATAGAACTCATTCTCTGCTGGTTCATAATAGTCTATGAAATAGCTAAGACTTATCGAATTGAAGAAGAAAAACGTTTTTTAAGTATGATATTGTTATCATTAATAATTATTATTTTCAGCACATCAATATCGTTTGATCGCGTTCTTGAAATAATCTTAGCGATCATTGACTTATGAAAAAGTTGGTTCTCGTATACGATAATACTGCTATTGAATTTGTATGACTCATCAAAAATTGCACATCTAAAAATATATTAGAGTCAGTTTAAATAAATTTTATCTGATTGTCAGTATAAGAGAGTGTGCTTTATCGATTGTTTTACCATTTTTCGTAATCTTAGATATAAATATTAATGCAGGTATCTAGAAGAGAGAATTTATTTTTGGGTTAGCATAATAGCTTAAAAAATAACTTTAGCAACATTATCAACTAGTTCTACATCAACGACTAGCACCAATATGAGATAAATTCGATTTATTCACATAAACTTCTTACTATTACTTCCGACATTTATATGTTTTTAGCAACCACAACTCCAAATCCTCTATTAGGATCATTTAGTAGTACTAATTCAATAGCTAATGTATGGACACAAAACAACTATTCATACATAGCAGTAACATCAGGAACGCTGACACTCAACTTTACTTTAACATCAAACAGTAAATTCGATTGGTATATAGATGATGTATCTGTGTATAACTCAACATCGACAGAATTGCTGACGAATGGAGATTTTCAGAGTAGTACAACACTTGTTGGATGGACCTCTGGAAATTCTGGTTCATGCGGATCCAACACCGGTATATCGACTAGCAATGGTCATATGTCAACTCAAAGCTACGTTGACCAGTGCTCTGGTCAGACCGCTTGGATACAACAATCATTCTCTGTCACTAATGGTGATCTCTACAGTATTAGTTTTTGGTATTTCCTCGATCATGTTAACCCAGGACTTGGTAGTGGAGTTGTACAGTTGGATGTTACTATCAGCTGATTGGAACTTTAAAATATTACGTTAGGGAAGTTAGCTCAAGATTCGAGTTTTTCCAGCCCCGATTCTCGTATATGACTGTGTTAGTTTTTATTTTCGTTGTGTTGGATGCAGAATTTTGCGCTGAATCGAATGGTGTAATTTTTGGAGGGGGTACCAATTAAAACCTGGGACTTTAGCCGAAAATGCTACTTTTTTTGAAAATATTGTGAAAGNATTCAGTGCAAAATTCTGCATCCAACACAACGAAAATAAAAACCAACACAATCATATACGCGAATCGGGGCTGGAAAAACTCGAATCTTGAGCTAACTTCCCTAACGTAAAATATTCGGAATTATATTGGAAGTATGACCATACTAAAAACATTATCCTATTCATTAAAAAAGCTTGTTAGCGCAGCCGCTTCGGGACTAAAACGCGGAACTCACATATGATTTTTCGCCTAACTTACTTATAAATAATGCGTGATGCGAAATTTGCTATAAGACAATCGATCGGTAGAAAAAAAATGTCATGCTTAGTTTTTGCATGCTGGCTAATATGTGTAATGCAAGGTCGTGCCTGTAAGTAGGTGTGAGGGAGTCTCTAAGGGGATGCAAGGGATGGGATCTGTAATCGGGTGGGGGCGGGTTGGAAAGCCGCAAAAATCTCGCTTTTAAACTTACATTCACCAATTTCTTCGAAAATATATGTGGGTTCCACAAAAGAGCTTGATAAATAGAATATCAGTGTTTGTTTTTTCACGCCTTTCATTCTATAAATCATTTTATAATGAGCTTTAATGTAAACAAAATATATTTAAAATAAAATAAATACGGAACAGAGTACGTTTCTAAGTGATGTTGAATGTATTATATTTCAAAAATTTCAATGCTTCTTCAGTGACACATCTATAATTTCAACTATTACAAATCTCTAGCCATGAGATGCCTAGTTCGAATTCGAATATAAATGGACACCCAACTGCATGGTATCAATTCGAAAATAAGCGATAGAAATAGATTTAGTTTAAGATGGTGTGGGTGTGGGTGTGGGTGAAGGGTACCCGGAAGGGGTGCAGGGGTATCCGGGTTACTTCAAATGTTGTTATGGGCGATGGATACCATGGAGAAATGCTCAAATATGGATGCGGGTGAAGAGTATATATGTATCCATATGTCGCATATATATGCCGACATGACTGAGTGGATATGTTGTTCGACACATATTCGCAACATACTGTGTTCAAACATCAGTATCACCAGTTATGTAATGATCCTGGACAAATCACTAACGACTACTTGCCTTGGATGACTCATCCGATAGTGTATTGATTGCATAGCTAGTCAATATAAATATACAGAGTCAAAAACAAACCCATCATAGATGTCACAATCACGTGATACTTATGATGATCGCCAACCCTTACGGGAGAAGCGTTGAACGGAAAGAAGTGCAGAAACCGTCGTCCGTAAAAAGAAAAAGACAAAAGAAACTAGCGCACGTAGACCCCAGTGCTGGCCTCAACGGGCGATAAAGCATATGGGAGCTATTATTATTATGTCGCATATATCGAAAAGTTAAACTAAAACTAAATCTAGGAATAGATTTAGTTTTAGTTTAATTTTTTCTGTTCTCCATTTATATTCAAACTCGAATTAGACAGCTACCCGAATTATAAGTGCATCTTCATAATTTAAAAATAAAAAAGTTATTTTTGTTTCATCTAAATTCTATCTTGGAAGGTATTTTAAACGTTAAGCTGTATTATTAAAATTCAATAGTGTAAAATATACATTTATTTATTTATTTATTTATTCTTGATATTTATGGTTCACAGAAATTCATTTTACAGGTAAAGGCAAACAAGAATTGTTTTAATTTTAATCTTTCTATTCATTATAGATCATACCAGAGCTATTTGTTTTTTTTTTCTGTATTACGTGAAATTTGTCGTTTTTGAATATGTGAGATACTACGCTTGCCACTTTTCTGTATTTTTTAAATATAATATTAGTTTAATAAATTTATAAGATGATACTTATATATCCTTTTGGATCCAATCAGAACTGAAAAAAGCACCTGATTCTGATATAGCACGAACGCGAAGAACCGCCGGTTTTTTCGCGGTTTCGATGACATGGGAGTACATCAACCGTATTATTTCAGTCAACACATGGTACGCCCTCTGTTGATTAGCATACACCAAAAACATTATTGGATGAGTCATACTCGACAAGTTCTTTGTATCGATCAAGTCTAAAAGAATAAGAAAACTTCGTTCTTTTTTATTCGAATGTATAGTGTTCCAAATTTACTACAGTATTATCAACAAACTGTCGTCGAATTCAACTCAACTTTCTCTTCATTTACGTAAGATCAAGTTTTCTTCAAATTTCTCAACTTATTTTTTACTCTAGAGCTTCGAACTGCTAACGTGTCGTCAATAAAAGAAAAACCTTCGGTGTCTTTTTATAGTAGTCGAAAAGTAAAAGCACATTATGCTTTCTTTAAAAAACTTACTGAAACAAATATTATTTTCTTTTCGTTATCTAGCGAATAGATCATGCACTAATAATAACAAACGGTCGCATGGCCAAAAAATCCAAACCAACACCAGAAAGTATTTAACATATGATTAATTGAAATTGAATTAATTTTTTTCTTTGTCTAGTTATTTGTTTGAGTGATGATGATGATAACAATAATAATAAAAGCAATCAAATAAGTGTACCTATTGTAAAGCCAATAAAGCCACCACCACCATCATCATCATCATCTTCATCAACTATCGTTAATGATGATAATAAAATTGCAATATCTCAAGTACCCGATTGGATTATTCAACGTAAAGATGTAATGCGTATACCAGCATTAACATTAAAACATTCTGATTTAATTAAAAAAACATATGAACTTGCTTGTTCAGCAGTTTGCTTTGGTATTTTAGAATTTAAAGTTGAATCAGAAATTATTCTTATGAAAGAAACTGAATTTGAATTAAAACTTAAAAGTAATTACATAGAAAAAAAAATAGAAAAATTTTATTTTATTTTTATATTGATTTAAGGTGATTTTATGGTTAATTTCAGTATAAAATTAGCTTATTCAGACATTATATCATTCTTTTATTCATTTCAATCGCAACCACCAGCGGCATTTATTCAAGTGCGTCCTGATTTTGCTGATCTTTTTGCAAAGTATATTCCATCAACTGATGAACATGGAAAAGGATTTGATCCACATTCAAAAGGTTAAAAACAATATAATACATATTCTTTTTTTTAAAATTCTATTCATATAGATGAAAGACGACGTAGAATTGTTCTATGTCTCAAATCCTCACCGGACGCAGAGAAAAACAATGTATCTTCAATTTATTATTATCTAAAAGCAAAATCTTCCACAATGGTACGTTAATTTCTTTTCCTCTTTCTAATATATGTATATAAAATAGTTTTTGAATATTCGTAGAATATTTGTTGTGTGAGCAGTTCAAGAGCTCAAGAAATCTACAATTTATCTCGATTTGCAAATATAACGGCATTAGGTTCGATAACACAGCCATTTGTTATTAATGCTAATGAATTGTATGTACTATTTTATAGAATATATGCTTTAAGATATCTATCGATATTAGGATAATGGAAAAACTTCTTTATATCTTAGTTGTTTTGAATAAATTTAAAATTATTTTCATATGAATAAAAGCTAAAACAGATCTATAGGTAAAATTCTGTCAGTTATTTCAGCAGGCAAAGCTTTTCAATACTAGACGAAGAAATGCTGTATAACGACCATGCTTAACTAATTGACCTAAATAAATTAGTGTGAATTAGTCCGAGTAGTATTATAATTATTTCTGGGAAGAAAATTTCTATTTCAAAATTGTTTGTCTCAGCTAATAGTCATTTCGATTTCAAGCAATCATGTGTGTGATATTTACTTTCTAGGGCTTCAAAAACAGTTGGTTTAAATAATAATACAATACGATTTGATTTATCCTGTGATGATTTATTATGTTTAAACGAAGGTGAATTTCTTAATGATAATATTATCGATTTTTACTTGCAGTAAGTACAGAAGAGTATTTTCTATGTTTTCCTGAAGAATTTATTTCTTTTCTCTATCGAATAGATATGTTTATTATAAAAAACTTTCTCAAGAAGATCGTCAACGTACACATTTATTTAATTCTTTCTTCTATACAAGATTAACACGAAAAGGCAACGATGATATTCTTAATACTTCGTAAGTTTATTCTTCTACTGTCTACGTTTAAAAGGATATTGAAATCGTCATAAAAATTGATATATACATTAACATTTCAATTAAAACATATTGTATTAAGCTGCAACGTTCGATTATTTTGCATGCTTCAATATGTTTCCTCGGACGTTAACTGAAAATGACACTATGAAAAATATATTTCTTTCACAACAGACATTCTCTACCGATGGTATAAAGATCGAGAGTTGAAAAACATTTAGGATAATTATTAGTTTTATTTGTATATTTCTACATCCATACCATTCATGTAACTGAAAATTGTTTCTAGTATACTCGAGTTTATATATGATTGAAAAATACTATTGAATTAAATGAATGTTTTGTTAATATATCTTGTGGAAATACAAATTCTTAATTAGTATCAATGTCAAGATAAAATACACGTCTAGGACATTCGACAAAATATAATATTAATGAAAAAGAATAAAAGTGACTTCCAATCGAATAAATACCAAGTTTTCATAATCTTTTCTAATGATTAAGTATTACTATATAGATTTTTCGTTTTGGAATGACAACTCGAAAGAGGGTGAATACTTTTTAATTCATACTAATATCAGTATTTTCGACATGTCCAACTGATTTTATCATAAAATAAGAAAAAAGGCACTGACAATGATAGATATTGTGGACGATAAACACTGCAATTTCAACATTGTAACTCTTCTTTGATACCATCGAAATAAGATCACTACTATTTAAAGAGATATATGGCAATTACCTGTTTTCTTTCGTTGTCTCCAATGAATATAGAATTCGAAATGATAGTATGCTTACAAAAATTGCATTTTATCCTTGAGCTTAAATTTATTTCATAATATTCATATAATAAAATTATGTTTTAAAAATTTAGAGCAGCCGAAAGACGTTACAATCGTGTTAAACGATGGCTTCGGGATGTGGATATATTCTCAAAAGATTATCTCATTGTACCAATCAATCAAACAGCTCATTGGTATCTTGTAGTTATTCAATTTCATAATAATGTTCCAACAGAAGGTGATCTAATCAGTGATGACGATGAAAGTCATGGTATGAAACTTAAATTAAATTATTATTTTTTTTTATCAAATATTTGAAGAGAGATATAAAATATTTAAATTATGAATTATCTATGAATTTTTTATATTAAAATTTAGAGAGTAGAATGTGAAACATGACAGTTTAGGTTATTTTCTAGAGATGTTTTCTTTTTTGTTTTTCATAAGATATTTCTTGACAAAGTATATCGTCATAGTTATTTCATCAGTTTTGTTTTTACTCATATAGACAATCGATCAAACTTGAAAAAGAAGAAAATCACTGAATGTAAAATTCAAATAAATGTCAATAATAGTACTCCCGGTGAAGCATCATCATTATGTTTAACATCGAATATTCATCCGATCGAGGTGCTCGATGAAGTAGATGAAGTCACAATAAGCAATGATAATCAAATAAATCCTAATAGTGAAAAAGCTCCTAATCGTAAAAATCGTTCTCAAACACCAGCAATAATTATGTTCGATTCATTACGTACTGGTCCTAAAAATCGTGTTGCAGCTACTCTACGTGAATTTCTTCAACTTGAATATGATCATAAAAAAACTTTACCAGTTGGATCTTCAGCACGAAAAATATTTAATTTAGATACAATACCAGCTATTGAAGCTGCTGTACCACAACAACCAAATTATTTTGATTGTGGTCTATATATTTTACAATACATGGAAAAGTTTTTTGCTCATCGTTCACCAACAATAAATTATCAATTACTCTCAACATTTGAGAATTGGTGTGACAACAATTCAATGGGCTCATCGAAACGAAAACAAATATTTGATACTATCAATCAATATGTTATTCCTAAAGAAGTGTAATCACTAGTGGTTATTTAGCTGTGTCATCATCTTCTTCTTTTCATATTCTAGTTATCCGTATTACACTTCTTTTTTTTTCGTGTTTTGCTATGTATAAGATTATTTTTTTTCCTCGGATGTTATAAAGAAAACATTAGTACAGATAAAAGACTGGAAGATGGTCATAAATATATATTTGTTGATATATTATTTACTCTAGAAAATCTGCAATATTTATTACATTTTGTCAATACAAATATGACTTCAGAGCAACGTCGATCTGGTAATAACAATCGACAACAGGTATTGAACACTATGTATCTTGCGAAGTGAAATCTAAGTGTATCAACTGTGAGTTTTAGAGATTCTATTGTTTTGTCATTAATATAAAATTAATTATTCACAAATCATCTTTCGATTGTCTCAAACTAATTAATTCTATGTGTAATCGAAAAATGCATGCATGCATCCATGCATGAATTTTATATTAATACACATAAAAGTGGACATTAACGCTTAATGTTTCATAATAAATAAAGTTATAATCGATAGTAGTCTTTGAAAGAGTTTAAAATATAGTCAAATTTTGATTTCTAATTCTTAACAGAACAACGAATTCTGTTAACTCGTAAAATTTAGTTCAACCAGAAAATATACATGAACATTAATATAATTTTACACCAGTTCGTACTTGACACCTCATGAAAAGTATTTAAATTATCCTGAAGGTTACAGTTGCCATAAAAAAAGAAGCCTAAAAACAATCAAGATTTAATCAACTTTTTAAATTTCTTTAAGCAAACAACAATTAATACAAATGTGAATCTACCCAGAGAACCTTCTGATACGTCAACATTTGATAAATTGATGATGTATTTTACTAAAACTAATCCAGAATATTCCATGTAGGTAAGTAAAATTTCGTGGTTAATTATGAATATTTATTTTATTATTAGATCTGATTTCACTGAAGCTTTATATTCTTTTCGACAAAATCGGCAAACATTAGCTGGAATTTCTCTAACACAACTTGAAGAAGGTGTGTTAAATATAGTTCGAAACAAGTATCCGTCAAAAGAGGTTAATCAAAATAGTCGTCTTTTTTCCTTTTATATTCGAATTCCGTTTTTTTCTTTTATTATTGTGATAGAACGATATTGACACCAGTGAAACTGAAGTAAGTTATGTTTGTCTGATAAATAATTTAATCTTTGTATTTCTTTTTGTGTTTAGAATACAAGTGAAACTACAAATGAACAGTCTGTTGCTGCTGCTCTTTGGAGTACATTTAAACGTTATCGAGAACGTGAAGAATTATCAAAAAAAAGCGCAAATGATAAAACTAATCAAGCTGCTGTAGCAGAAGAGCAGTGTCTTATTTGTCTTGAAAATTTAAGTTCCAAGAAAACAGAAACATTTACATGCAAACATACATTTCATCGAAATTGTCTTGAAGAATGGTTTAAAATCGAACGAACATGTCCTCTGTGCCGTAAACTATTACTTTTCAATGATGAATTTCCCGCTTTGGTGTGATTCTTTTATAATGATTCATACAAAATAAATAAATTTAAATTACTCATTTTAATGAATTTCAGTGGACTGTCATATCTACGTTGTTGACATTCTATTCTAGCTTGCTTTTTTGTTCCTGCATTCAAAAAAAAAAAATATATATATATATTTACAGACTGATCAATACTCGCAGAATAAAAAGAAAAAAATGCGTCATAGAATAAAAATAAAGCTGGCAGCAAAGTAAAGAACGACAATGTGGCGACAAACGAAAGCTCACCTAAAAATCACTTACGGTAGAACGACAAAAAAAATCAGAGTAATACAAAGTTGAACAGAGAAATAAAAAGAAACATAAGTTGTATATTAACAAAAAGAAAAAGAAAGGTCACAGTCTTGAGGAAAAGAACGTTGGCGATGGTGAGTAAGAAGGAGAAGAGAGAAAAAATAAAAATAAAAAGAACTAGAATGTTTTATTCGACACACAAGGCGACAGCAAAAATAATAAAAAGAACAAGAAAAAGGGAAATTTCATAATAATTTCAACTGCAATGGCTGTTGTCTCGTTTCTACATCTGATATTACTGCTAGTACTACTGATGTGTTGCATGATCGGTAAAAATGATTAAAACTCATATATCCTTAAGATACTTTTACAATTACATTTGCATACCTATTAGGACAAGTAGAAGGAAATTTTGCTCGTCAGCGACGTCAAGCAGTCGGTGGCAATAATCGTGACATAGGTTTTCCACCAGGAAACTCAGATGGATCGATACTTACAAACAATGCAAAATTTAATCCATCAAATAATCCAAATATGATTATATCAAACGATCGAAATAATCAACAACAATCAAATAATAATTTATTGGCGGCATCTCAAGGGCAACCAGTAGTGGTCCGTAGTCGTGGTTTTTATGATAGTCCTGGGTTTAAATCATCATCGTTTTCGGGTGAAAAACCAGTCGGTTGGTTCGATACGAAATATCCTAATTGGGTATCGGATCAAAATACTGAATTAGATAAGAATAATGATATGGTTGCAGGAAAAAATGGAGCACCAAGCAGGTAACTGTGAAAGTATTCTCATTTTTTTCCTTCAATAATTGTATTCATTGCTTATCCCAAATAAGTCTTCAAGGCAAAGCTATTCAATCAAGAAAAGAAGATGATGGACCATTATTACTTCAAAAATTCGCTGATCAAGCTATAAGTAGAGGTGAAAAATCATACGCTTTTGATCAATCTTATGGTAAATTATTTTCAAAGAAGAAACAAATATTTTTGAGCTGATTGACTGTTAATGTGTTGTTTGTAGATCAGAAGAGATTAGACAATGTATGTAGCAATCGTCACAATTTTAATGGATATACATTTGGTCGATTCCAATGCCCATTACCAACTGCTTCTGGTAAGCATCGAAATAATCGATTTTGTTGTGGACCAGCAAACTATCAATATTGTTGTAATCAACAGTTAGTATTCGTGAAAACAAAATTTCTTTTCCGGATTATTCTACGGTTCAATTTTTTCTTATAGAGAATTCCATCAAAATCAAAATCAAAATCAAGAATATGGTTATAGCAATAACCATGGCAAAAATCGTCATTCAAACCATTCACATACAACTCGTCGAATTCTTGCAGTTGTTTTACCTATTGTTGGCATTCTTGTTGTAGCAGCAGTGGCGATTATTGTCTTTTTATATTATAAAAAACTACGAAATACACAAAATAAACAAAGTAAATCGTCGGGAGTTAATAAATTGGGTGATAACTATTCAGGTAACTCTATTAAAACATAAAGATAATATAGTACATCAACAGAGAAAAATTTTCATTTAGCTGTTCCACAAGATTTACCAGTTGAAAATCCAACAACGAATCAACGTGAACAGCACAAAAGCTCTATTCAAACTTAATATCGGGAATAGAATATGTACATTTAATCCAAACTTTTCTTTTTAGCTAGTCTATACACATTTATTAATCTTGGAACAGTGTTTATATTAAAAATTGTTTTACTCTCACCATCTATTCTATGTATGGATTTTGTTTTTTGAAAAAGAATCTCTGTTCGTTTAGTTTGATTCCTATTTTAATAACAAATGATACTAATTTTTATTCAATTTTAACTTTAATCCTTCTAAATAATATTTGACAGAAAGTTTGCATTCTTCAATAATCAATCACGTAGAAATTACAACATGAATATGACGTATATGTATATACATGTTTACTTTTGTAGCACTTTATTGAGAACAATGATAAATTTATATAAAAAATTATGAACTATATATTTGTTTTGATCTACAAGCTAAAGTCTTAAACAGTAAGACTGACAGATAAAAGAAGAACATAATTTACTTTCGTCTTGTGGCTAGATTTTTATTTTTGGATACACTTCGTTCGCGTTGAATTCGATTGACTGATGAAGTCCGACAAATGTCTGAATCATCAATAGATAATTACGATCACATTATATTACCATAGTAGATGAAAGTGCTAATTGGAAATTCAATTGTTTCTTTCTTCATTTCGAAATTTAAAGAACAACAGTCTGATCGATCACAGAACTTTGTGAAATTATTTATCAATGAATAGAATAAACCGATTCAACTCATTAGAAAACTGACCTTGCTGTATTCATATAAATTTGAGACAATGATTAAAATTAATATTCATATTGAAAGAGAAAATAATCCAAATATAGACTCGAAATTTTTCTTTTGTTTGTTTACTATTAAAAGCTCGATTTTTTTCTACCTGAATAAACATTTTCTCATTCTCTCATGCTTTTCAACTTTCAAAAAAGGATGTAATGATTTCAATATCAACGTTACATCATACATTTATATATGTTGATCTCATTTTTTTTCTTTTTAGATTGAAAATATCATTTTTAGTTTGCTTGATCACATGATTGCTATTACTCAAAATGAATATAAATATTGAGATATCTAGCAGCGATATGTCTGCATTTCAAATAAATTTACTAATCAAGACATCGTCATTGTTTGAACTAGTAATAACTTTAAAGTAGATAAAATTCCCGCTATTAGTCTTTGTTACTTCATAAAACATTTTTTTAATTTATTAAATGTACTTTAGTTTGGACTATAAAAGAGACATAAAAGTCAATTTTTTTGCTCTTTTATCTATGAAAATGTTCTCAAGATAACAGACAAACGATTAATCCTTTTTTAAGGATCCCAAAAATAAAAGTCCAGCAAAATTTAAGTTGTATCGACGCCACTAACCAGTTAAGAAACAAGATCAAAAGGATTTATCTTTCACTGAGTTAATTTCGTACGTGATAAATTGAAAGTCTTAGAATATATATCATTCGATGTGTTGAAGGTGAGTGAAAGTGTGACTAATATACGAATCAAACTTGATCCATCATTTTAATCGATAGCATGAAGAAGTTTTTCTAGATAAATCTAGCCATATTCTTGAGCAGTCTTCACATTGTTAATTAGAGAAGATCTACAAAATAAAGCATAAATTATCATTTACTGTAATACTAGCGAACACTTTTAGATTATCATTATTGCAGTTTTAATAGAAACGTTCTTTTCTTACAGATTTTAGCTCACAAATGCCATATAAGAGACAACTGAAAGTGAATCCTTGCTATAGTCAAGTTTGTTTTATATTCTAAGCCACTGTTCAGTAGCACTCAATTTAAAATACAATACTTGACAAGTGACCATTATTTAGTAGACAACGATTTGACATCATTTCTAGAATTAAGTAGCAAGCAAAACACAAGCCTAACTTTTGCAATGACACACTATTTGGTATCTTTTAAATGTTTCGACTTTAATTTAGCAAACTGTTTTCGTAATATTTCTTCTACTTTGATAGCCACATCAAGTGTGGTATTTGATTATGAAAGTGCTGATGTATTTGAAAAAGTGTAAACTGCCTGAATATTGTCGACATATAAATCTAACATGAGAACCTAAAGAAGTCTTTGAAACTTATCGATATCTCAATTTTGACACACTTAGCTCAAATAGCATACTCATAAAAAGTCATATATTGAGAAATAACATGATATACATCGTTGAGTATTCTCATTGTTTATCTCCGTATCATTGGCAAGGAAATATGATTATTTACAGATATAAAACATGCTTGTTTCTTACACTTTTACGTGGAAATCAAATGCAATCTTCGTTTTCTTTCTCCAGATATGATCAAGAAGATATTTTACTTTAACACTTAACTGTCTAGTATGATCAACAATTCATCATAAATAAAATATATGGAGACTATGTATTGACTGAATCGGATAGCTTTTCCTTGTTTTCGTATCCTGCATTACGACAGAAAAGATGATTCATTCGGTAAGAAAATCAAGAAACTGCTTATCATCGTTTCTAATGACTAATGAAAACAGTTTTGACTTTTATTGATCAATACTGAATATATTTTTTTATTAGGGTAAAAAGCTATGTCTGAATGCATGCGAATGATGCCAACAAAATTTAGTATTTATATCATTTATCAAATTTGTTTTAATACAAAGAAAGACCTTCTCTCATCTCTTCGTTTTGTATTCTTCGTTTGTTTTGTGTATGTAAATATTGGTGTAATTGTCTCATCTTTCTTTTTACCTAATCTATATTCTAATATCATAACATACAATTGATCAAGATGTATTAATACAACTCGACAATAAATGTCATCGAATGAGATCGTGCGTCTACATTCATGTTGATGACATATAAAGAGTCTTAACTATTACAGGTTCATCTACTCAAATCTACTCTTTTATGTTATTCTCAACTTATTATATCGTTCTCGTGTCAAGGAAAATGAGCAAAATCGTTTATTTATCGGAAGTCAAACATGGCAATAAGGATATGCTAAATTGAATACTAAAACTTTTTTACTCGTTGCTTACTCGTATTTAATCTATTTTCGTCATTTCTATTCGATTATCACAATTGTAAAAGTTGTTTTAATGAGAATTCAAAAATATAATGTCTGTTTATATTATTAACTCTGATGTGCTTTTACTGAGCGTTGCTTACATAACTCAATTTGCAACATCAACTTGGTTAATATTCTAAAAAACTACCAATTATATATATGGATACATGCAAAGGTAACAGTTGTTATTATCAAAAATATAAATACAAGTTCAAGAATATTGTTCAATGACGTAAATCCGATTGAGTTTTTATTTGTCGAGTTACATGTACACATTACATATAGATACATAACTATCAGCCGCATAGTTATTAAAATAATTGAAATAATAGATTGATGTCGTTGTCAAGATATTATTTTCTATAAACGTCCAAGTCGCCGTCTATTTCATAGTGTAACGCTTGTTTTTTTGTATGCCATTACTAAAGAACAGACACTATCATCTACATGAATCAGTTTGTACATACATGTATAAAACTATGTAAGCAATCATGAGGAATACCAACAGTGTTTACAATTGGTATTACAGTTCGCTGTCTCATTCTTTCTATCTCATATACTACTATGACGACGGGCAAAACTTGGATAATTTTGCAAGAAAATTGAAAAACACATGTTTTCTTTTTCTCCATTTTATCACACTACTGTAATTGTTCATGATATCAATGTGGCTGATCATTATTTGGTACTTTCAACACTTGTTTAGATCATTTTTTGACACACATTTATGATAATTTTAAAAAAATCGGACTTCGCATAGCATACAAAGTTTACTCCTTTTTTTAGCAGTATACATTTCTTTTTCAAAAACAAAACGTTCTCACACTATTTGTTATTATTTTCCGTTTTGCTTGATTAGTTTTCTTTTCATATAATGAGTATAGTGTTGGTTTTATTACATACGATAATTGGGAGAGATTCACATACAATATTAATTTTTATCATGACTCAGGTAAATATTTCCAACAGACATACTACATGCACTCATTCGCACACAAACGCATATAAAACTCGTGAGTGACAGAGTTAAATGTGCCTAAATACTAATGGAAAAAAAATTGTAATATTTCATATCGCACTGAGATAACGTCGTCAGATATTAATAAATTGGAAATGACTTGTCATTCAATGAATTAAATGTGAAATTAAAGTACTTTCTTTTTTCAGTTTTCAGTCATCATTTTTGCAGTTCAATCATTACCATTAAATTAAATCAAAGAAAATGATTATTAATCTTTACATAAATTCATAGTTGCATTCATAAATTATATTAAATAATATATATTCATAACAAAATGTTGGACTATATTCAAAACAATTTAGTTATAAAAGAAAATCTTCAGAGACAGGTGTATTCGTCAAGTAAAAACTAGAGAACATTTCTGAATTAGTGTAGATGTTACTACACATACATGTTTTTATTGAGTAACAATCACTCATTAGATTATTTAAAAGATTTGTATTCAATATTGTATAAAAAATAGAAAAATAAAATACAAAATCTTACATTTTCAAATTAAAAATTCGATCTTTAAATGCTTGAAAATGAAGACGTCGATCTTTATTGGCTTTTTCAAACATTCCTCGATTTTCTTGCGCACGTCGAAATAAATACGGCTGTAGGGATTCCATTGGGCCATAGGGTAAATACTTATATGTATTATAACCAGAGTTAGCTATAAATTATAATAAATACTAATATAATAGTAATGAAATTTTATTGCTCATCAGTACCTAAAGCAAAAGCAACATAATCGCTCATTCCATAGAGTGATGCAAATGAAACCAACGATGAATCATGAGATAAATTCAAATCTTTCATTCTAATAAATTTAGAAAATTGAATCACTATCGAACTAACGTCATTTTACATACTTTTGAATAGCATATCGAACAGTATCTTCATTATGTGAAGCAACCATAACTCGAACTTGATCTGTATGACGTTTGCTAAAACTTTTTAATACTTCATCAAGACATGCACGATACATTTTCGATGTTGTTTCAAAATCTGTATTAATCGGATCTTCATATCCATATTCTTGCGCTAATCGACGCTCTTGTTCCATATAGGCACCACGTACAAGTTTAGCAGCAAATGTATAATTATGATATTCAGCTTGGGAAAGATCATATTCGACGGAAGCCAGTGTTTCCTATTTATTTTGAATAGAAAAAAATGAAAGATTGAGACGTCAATAAAAGATTAGTTAGTTACCTTTAAATAACATTGATATGTTCCGTATATGAATGCATCGTTGTTTTTATTATAATATCGTTGTAATTCATTTGCAAAATAATTAATTGCCGTTTGAAAATAAGTTTGTTCGGCATCTACCATAATTGAAATTTTATGTTCAACACATGCCTAGGAAAAGTTTGTTTTGATGTATAAATTGAATTTTATAATAAAGCACGTTCACGTTACTTGAGCTATTTGATTTAAACGAATGAGAAAGTGATAAATCTCAGTAAATTCGTCATTGGTAAGGATGATACTGGTCGATATTTTATTCTATCATTATTAACACAAGAATTTAGAAAACCTATAAATTTGTAAATATACAAGATAATATTTACCGGATATTTTTCAAAATATGATTTAATCGATTGTCGAAATGTTTCAATTGTTTTTTCAGTATTCTTTTGTTCTTGGTTGATTAATTCAAATAAAGGTGGTAATAAAGAGCGATTTTCAATAGATTTCAATAATATATTAAATTTTTTAAGTACACCTGGTCTTATAAGAGCAGTTAGTTTTACGGCAATAGTACTATTCGGCCCACAAACATCATAAGATGTTTTGATACATTCAATAAATTTACTCGTAGTAAAATCGTGCACACTATCATTGTGATCTGACCTAGTTATATTTAAAATATTTGATTTGAAAAATCTATTTCTCAAATTACATACGATGATGATGATGAAGATTTATCAGTATCATCACTTTCAACACTATAATCTAGAATAGGCTTGACACCATATTTTTGTAAACTTTTAATAACAGGTTTTATTTCTTGTGAAGTTTCACCTCCAACGAAATGACCAAAAGCAGTTAACTTTAGTAGACTTCTGAATAGTCGAGCACCGAGTATACGTTGACCCCATTTAGCAATCTGGCCAAATTTTTATAAACAAGAAAATTGTCTAGTTATTCTTTTTTTTCTAATGGTTTTTACTTTAGCTTGATTATTAACAAGAAAATTAATTGAAAATAGCCGATAAACTAAATAACCACGCAGCAAATCCATACTGCGTCGATATCGATAGGCTAATTGATATTGATTAAATTTTGTATCAAGTAATGGAAATTCTGAGCGTACTTCTTGTTTTTCATTTTTTTCTGCTGTTGGAACAATCGTTGATTGAAAATAGATTTGTTTTGTAAATAATTGCTTTGTTCTACATGAGCAAATGATTGGTGTTGACCGATATAAATACTTTATCTAAAAAAATTAGAAATATCGGTTACAATCAATAACCTAGTCTCAAAAAACAGTTGATACTTACTGTCAACATGAAGCTTTGTTTTGCGTATTTAACTATATAAATAAAAAGATACTAGACGATCAAATATTCACATATATATATATATATATATATTTATCAATTGGTCTATAACTATGGGGTAACATACGAATGACGAACACATCCTCTTTTGGAGTGTTTTTCTTTCGATAGTAAGAGTCGCAATTACGAAAGAACGAGAACTACCGACATTCCTCTTCTGTGCAGTCAAGCAGAAAAATAGAAAATATTTATTTATTCATGATTAATCACATAAGTATAAATTGTTATTAAAAACGAAACAAATCAGCTAAAAAGTACCTTCTCATTATTATTTATTAAAATATTTTTGTTTTACTATCGATCAAAATAATACAATCTTTTTAATAGATTAATCAAAAACAAAATGGTTTAAATTTCTTTTGAAACTTTTCTAATGTTTTCACCATTGCCATATCGGATTCATTCGTCAATACACATTAAACTAAGTCAAATCCTAATCATCTTACGAATAATAAATCATTGATAGGAGCGAATACTATTAATCATTTTTAGGATCAAATAAAAAGCACACTTTGAGTTTACTGATCTTTATTTTCCTTAGATATATGAAAAAATTGACTAAATAGCGTTATTTTCAACGTTGAATATTTGAAGCATCAGTTGAAACTTGTAAAATTTCAGCCTATTTTCGCTAAATAGAAGTAAAATAGTGATGATGCTAGAAATTTGCATTTCTTAAACGACTTTCTCCAATCCTATGTATAACTTTGAAAAATACCTGAACAAGTAGAAAAGATGATCATTAATAATATAAAAGATCTCTCACGGCCAAAATCTACTTGTTGAAAATTAAAGATAAGCAGCTTCAGAGCAAACTATTAAAAATTTCGAATCGCAATGTTGCTACTTCAAATTATATTGAAGTTTTTTTTTTCGAAAAGATAACGCCAAAGTGATTATAGCACATTATATATAAGACATTTCAATGCATAGTCAACATTCTAGCAAAGGTTTAAAAAGCAAAATTATGATTTGATTCTTGTGTATGCCGCAAAAGTTTCAATGCTCTATTGATGAAACTGTTTGTGTATCGTCCATGATCTTCGAATCAATAATATTTATCCTCTGTTGCTTATAAGGTATTACACTACTGATATTAATCGGATATTATTTTCCTTAATCAATTGTAACACATCAGAGATATTGGAAATCAAGAACTAGTATATAGTTTTTCTGATTGGGTCACTTATAAACTGAGCCAAACTAGTGCATGCACGTAACACTGTGCAACAATTTGGCTGAAAGTGATGTTTCATATTGTTAGTATAGATTTTTGGTTAATATGTGTTGAATAATGATAAAAAAACAACATACACATTACTTGAGGAACCTCTCACGAAAACCAAAGATTTCTTTCAACAAAGAAAAATTTATCAAAAATTGTCCACATCATAATATTATTTACTACATATGCAATATAAAGATATATAAAATCAATCATGAGATAAGTGAGACTACAAACAACGTAATGTAAATACCAAGTTTCATCAATCATCGAAGAACACTTAATAGTTTTGATATATGTTTATTTCAAAAACGATTTATTAAAAGTGAAGATTTGAGAATAAGTAAGATAACAAAGTTTGATTATGTGTTACCTTGCCCTCAATAATTCCATTATAAAAAATATTTTCTCATGTGTATTAGACAAGATCAAAACAATTGCTTACGTAAGCAATGACGCAAGCATATGTAATGATCTATTACTGTCTATGTTGATGGATACTACAAAGAAAACAAAACGTAATATAGAGCACATGCACGAGAAAGAGGAGGTCTCTATTGAATGATGAAAACAATTAGACAAAAACCAGTTGGATTATTCTCTATTCAGAGATCAATTATACACCTGGTGTGAATAAAGCGAAAACTTCATTAGCAAATTTTCCACTTTAATATTTAGCACAGACAACAATGTTTTTGAATTCTTCTCGTGTACGTACCCCGAACGCACATGAATAGATTCTGAAGATCGCCGTATTCAAATATATCAATAACATATGATTCAATCACTTTTTACAAAAATCTGTAATTTGGAAAATTTCAAAGGCACCTATTTTTCATGATATAAATCTATCAATGATTATTGAAATATAGCTCGACTAACTATTATCACATGCAAGCTATTTATGTTGTACAATGAAATCATATTTACTATGAGTTCAACCTTCTCCGAATTCTCACTAGATCCTCTTTACAAAACTCTAAACAATATTGATATTTATTAAGTATATAAATAGTTTTGGCAGATGAAAACTGTTGCATATCATCATGATTTCATCTATAACATCTACTGAAGATGAACACTTTCCATTGAATTCAATGTCGTATGGCTATGTGAAAATAATTACTCGTGTATCCTTTTAACAATCAGTAAAACGATCTATTATTATCTAGATCTCTTGCATATCGAAAAATACTAGTTGTTGTAAGACTAATCATTATTTTTCTTTCATGTACTACTTTTTTCGAAGCATTGAATCAATCATTACTTGGTACGTGACTTTTATATTTATATACTTTACCAACGGTATGATCATATTTAATAGTTTATCAAAGTCTTTCTTTTAATATATATTTCGAGACTAGTCCTATCCGTTCGAATTATTGTTCAGTATGAACCAAACATTGTTTTATAACTTTTCTTTACACTCATGCATGATTATTTATTCATGACTTCTTTGGTTCTGTACCTACTCGTAGGAACATTCATGGTACCATTAAGTTTTCCAGATAGAAAGGTTATATCCTAAAACTTTTGTCATGAATATTTACAAATTAGTTGCTCATAATTTCCATACGAATATATTGCCTCTTTTTATTGAAATCAGTTTATTTTTCTATCGAGATTTTTCATGAAAAACTTTCTACTTAAAATTTAAAAATTACCCCATCGAACAGAAGTTTGCTATTTAAATTCTTCCATTAAATAACAAATTCTGTTCATATCATCTTGAGAAATACTATTAGCAGTATCAACACTACCTAACTAGATCATGATTATAATTGTTTATCAGTTGTTTCAAAACATTATTGTCCAATTTATTATGAAACTCATAAATATCATTATTTTGGCAGTTAGAATACCAAAGGAAATATGTAAAAACTACAGAATATGGCCTATTATTACGAAAGATTAAACAAACCCGATTCTTTTTTTAGATATCTTGCTGTGCTAATCATGATTGACTGACATACATAAATCAAAAATTATTAAATGTGAATATATAGTAGCATCATTGAAACAATATTGAATGGCACTGAATAAGTGACATTTTTATACAGTAATAAAATATCTACACCAAAGAGTCTTACGATCGAATATAAAGCACTTAAACAGAAAGCGTAAGCATCCTGTACTAATGAGAACATAACTTTTGTTACGATTACTCGTGGACAGCTAAAAATCAACATATTGTCCTCGATGACCTTCGCTAAGTATTTTTTTGTAATAGTACAAAGAAAATTTGGTAGATGTTAGAAGAATTTACCAGTAAACCAATTTCTGTGTTAGTTACTTAGTACTTGCATATGTATATTAATTAAAATAAATAGATAACTTGTTTAATTCGCTTTACTGTTTTGAAACAAAAACAAACAAAATACAAAACGCAAAGCTTAAAAATTAATTTGTGCTCGGTAATGATGTTGATGCATATTATTTCTTACACCAAGTTTCATATGTTGTTTATTTTTCCATTGTTGCAAATATTTAAGATCACGAACTTTTCGTTGAAAAACTTCTCCTAAAAAAGGTTCATGTGCAACTTTTATTTTTGTTTTCTTTATAAACAACAAACCTGTTGTTCCTGGACCAGACCATCCGAGTGCTCGATATTTATCTTTAAGTTTATTCACAAGTTCTAGTGATCTGTCATTATTTCGACTTGTTAAACATTGACGATAGTATCGAATAAGTGTTCGATGTCCAACTTTTTTGCCAGACGGTAACGCTAATTCATAGCCAGCAGTATCAAGAAAGTTGTCATCTATTTCTTCATCGAGATTTTTCTCATTTGCATCTGGATGACTCGTTCTAAATGTTGTTGTTTTTTTTCAAAAATACACCAAATTATTTCTATTAAAACTTACGAATAATCATAAAAATCCACATATTCCCATGCTGAATTTGGATTTTCATCAAAAAGTATTTTACAGTGACCTTTATCAGTCATATGTCGTTGAACGGATAGAACATCATGAAATGATTTTTTATTACACCATAAGCATACATGGAATATACCAACTTTTTCATCTATCGGTTCAAGAAAATAATCAATAAGAAATTAATTCGAATAATCGAAATACCATACCTAGATATTCAAATAAGCCTGTTAAATCTTTAATGTATTCAAAATCTGGTACGAAGAAACTATGCACATGTGCCATATGACTTATATTTTCTTCAAGACAAGATGATTTTAATGAACAAAAAAGACATTCTTCAAGACCTAATGGTGTACCAAGTATTTGAGCTTCACCTTCTAATGCTGATGCATCTAAATAATAATTCAGTAATTAAATTTTTACTTTACCACTATCATAAATTAACTGATGTAGAAAATAGACTTTTTAAATGAAAAATTCCTGTTTTTAATTAATAACTTCTCTAACTAAATGAAATTTAAAACTGACGAACAAAATTTTATATGTATGGCATAACAGTTAAAATCAAATGTTAACAAATCTAATGTTCTTAATGTTTTCCAAGTGAAAGTTTTTTAACTTTTACTTTATAGCAATCGATCATCCGGATCAATAGGGGAAAACAGATATTTTACTCATCGAACACGAGAAAAGCATATTTAAAAGAATCAACATATTATATGAATTTTTTTTGTCTACTGTAGTAGACTACCAGATCTTGTTTTTTTTCTATTAATATACTTACTAGTCATTGTAGCCCCATCATCCATATCATTCCAATTATCATCATCGTCTTCTTCTTCTTCGTTGTCATCGTCGTCTTCTTCCATAGCCTCTTTATTGGGCGGTTCTTTTGATTTCTTTATTGGAGAATTCTGGTATTGATTTGGATTTTTCGGCTATAAATCAAAACAAAAATGCAGTTCAACTCAATTCTTTCTTTTGACTTACAGGAAGATTAGCATGTTTAGCAACAGTATCAATGTGCTTATTAGATTTCGTATGATTTAAAAGTCCATTTTCTGAGGTAAACACTTTACTACAATCTTTACATGTCAAAGCTGTTCTATTATTTCCACCAGCAGTATTGTCTGTACGTTGTTGTTGAATAGATTCAACTTTTTCAGAAAATTCATTTGCAGTAATTGGACCAAGATCAGCTACTTTACGCTTCAGATTATATCGATGCCAATCAGTTTTGTAATGTGAACGTTGTAATTCTCCATTAATAAATGCAACATGACATGTAATACATGTGTAGGGAGATGATGAAGACATTTCTAGAATAATAAAGTTGTAAGAAATCTGCAGCAAAATAAATATCTAAAATTATTGCACAAGATGTCATCTAGTCTTTCAGAATAATATATGACTCAGAATTTCAAATCATAACGTAGAATAAAATAGAATTTTTTTTAGAAACTCTTTTTATGAATATTTGTTGATTGTATTTACTTCAATTATCTGTGTAGATTGATTATAAATATAAATAAATAGTAATTCAAGAAATCAGAGACTTAAGAACACATACAATACAATATATATAGTTGTTTTTTTTTATTGAATTTCTGTTTACTAGTGACCTCTTAGTCAACACTTATGCATTTGAAATAGATAAGATTTATTTAAAGATTAAAAGATGAAAATTCTATAGGAATATGAATATGAATCACTTGAATTTTCCATAGAAATCAATTTTAATAAAAATAAAATTTATTTACATTTAAGAAAAACACCAAATTGGAGTCTTAGTATTCTCATATATGCATTGATAATGGCAGCATATATTATGTTATTGATGTTTCTTTCAGACAGATTAGTACTCTTTTGATTATTCAATTTTATTTATTCATATATTATTCTTGAAAAACGAATATCGAAAGAAAACTTTCAATCGTTTACTTTTTATTCATTGACAACTATACTGTGGATTTTAAATCTCAAATACCAAACAAGTTTTTTTGGATAATAGAACTCAATTATTATTAGTCTAGGTGAGTTTGATTGTTTCATTTTTCATCTGTATTACCCTAGTTTTACCTTCACACAAGAAAAGTAATTCGTCCATGTGATATTTAAATATGATGATATACAATATATTCGATAAAAAAATATCCAATATAAAACTCATTATGCAAATTGATTCTCTTTTAGTGAAGGATCCATAGTTTTGCTAGAATCTAACACTTCAAAAGAAAAACACCGCAATCAAAATCGAAGAATATGCCTTTGAAGTTCATTAAAAATCAGTATCTGCTTATTGTTAAATTGCCCGTATCGAGAAAAATCGAAATAAACTTGAATAATAAGTTGCACCCTTGTCTGAATTCAATATTGATCTTTCTGCCTCATAATTCAATGCATACTATATGAAAGAGAAGTGATTTTAGTTTTCTATGGTTAATCCATATCGACATTGAGAACTTTTTTCTTTTGAAATTATTATTATTATTATTATTATTATTGTTATTATTATTATTGATTGATTTGACACTATGATTAGAATTAAAGTGATGTTTCAATTTTCATGATACTAATCTTATTTGTTTTTATAAATTTATATATCGATGGTTATCTTTTTAAAGTGAAAATAATCTTTGAACGACATCACGTCTGTCATTCAATGGCATCAATCTCTGTTTGCTTCTTATCACTAGGCGACATATATTCTCAACTTTCTTATTCTTGCTCGTCTTTTTTATGCTTCTCTTTTTTCTTGCTCACTCGTTAATTCATCTTCGAAATAAGGAGGAAACTGTATGTCAAACTAGTCCCTCGCAGCATTATGGTTATCGGGTACGCAGCGCTGTGCGACAAGACGAAAAAAAAAGAAAACGACTAAAGTACCACAGAAGAGATGACTAAAAATATGAAGATTGCCGGATAGAACAAGAGATAGAAATGCTAGAAGATTATTTTCATCACCTTCATTGATATTGAGAAGGCTGTTTTCTTTCCTTTTCTTTTCTTTTTTATTCAATCGAAATAAAATTAAAAAAAATATTAGTTGCGGTATTTGTCTTTGATATTCTCTTTTCCTTTGGGAAAGTATTGTCAAAAAATTATCTATCTTGCATCATGAACACCATTCTTTCCTTTATTAGACAATAAAGTTTGCTATTTTTTATCAAAAGCAACAACAACAACGGACATTGGTCTTTTCCTCTATTCATTATTTGTTAGTAGTGCCTGTTATCAAGTGGATTCTTCTTCTTTTTTTTGCATCTTCTTCTCCTCTTTTTGATTTCTTCTCTTTTTCTTTTACCAGTACTTGCGGTAGAGAACAGATATGACTGCAAAAGAAGAAGCGATAGATAAGGACGACGCCATATTGATCTATGTCTGTATAAATGTGTTTTCTAACGCACCCAAGCGCGCTTCTTGCTTTCTTTCTCTATCCTTCTTTTTTAGCGTTCGTTGCTTATCGTCGACCCGCCAAGTAATCATTACTTGCCATTTCCCTTCTTTCTCTCTTCCTAGCTATTTCTTCTTGCGTTGCCGACTTAAATTCTCGGTGGCACCCGACACTATGGAAGTAGTAGCAGCTAGCGTTGCTCTTGTTCTTTCCTTCCTTCTGCTCTTCTTTTCCTTTCTTGATCTTCTTTTTTTTCAAAAAAAACGACTATAATTCGCATTACTAGAATTATGATTACAGAAAGGCGAGCGCAGCGTTAGTGCCGGCGAGCCCTGTCTTCGTCGATAGTACATGGTGAAAAGAATGGAACGCAAAGAATATTATCATTAACAATAGAGCTGTTCATCAGCATCGCATCATCATTGTTGACTGACTGGTCTTCGAACCCCAGTCCGATGTGTATTCGCTTTCTTTCCGTTTTTTTCTTCTCTTCCTCTTCTTGTTGTTCTGCTTGTCTTTCTCTCGTCCTAGAAGAAGATCTTTACACATAGTGCTATCGCTCTTTTTCCTCCTCGTTTTTCTCCTTCTTTTTTACCCTCTTGCTGCCATATACATGCAGACTTTTTCCTCTCGGTTGCTGTTACCAGTCGGCCAAACTTTTCTCTTCGCTATTTCACCCGGGCCCGTCCGCTCGCTCGTTCGCCCGAGTTAGTAACAACAAGTAATAACGTCGTCGACACATCGTAGTTTTTCTTTTTTTTTCTTGCTTCCCAGTTTTTTTCTTTGAAAACCTGCAGCAAACCAGTAATCGCGTGAATACATGTCTATGTGTGTGTGTTTATTATTTTACCAGGTCTTAGACGAGTATGCATAAAACGATAAAATTTTAGACAAATCTTATTTTCTATATAATGTATCTACACAATAAACAGAAAATAACATATCAAGACCAATCTGACAATCACCATCATTATTATTATCGTTATTTAAACTGTAAAATCAATGATCACATCATTTGTTCATCATCATTATTATTATCATCATCTTCTTGATGTTCACTCGTTATTTTTCTATTTTTTTGTCGTACAACACAATAGATCAAGTAAGACAAATATGAACAGAAAAAGAAACACACAATAAAGAATAAGAAAAGAAAAAAAAAGAAAACTTTTATTTTTGGTTTTTCTTTTTTATGCTCGTTTATGTTTGTATGATATTATTGCCTATGTTGCAGAGATTGGCAAGTCTTCTTCATTGTGTGCGTGCCGTTGTTGTCGTGTAAGAATAACATGTTGAGGAAGAGAAGAAATCGCGCGAGTGCGTCACTCGATTCGAACAGAGAAGAACGCGCACGTACACTACTGCTCTATTGCTGCCATCAATGACGATGATAGTGTTGGTACTACCGGTAATAGTGACAGTAAAAAAAACAATATTAGATAGTATATGTACGTTGACTGTCACACAGTCGGCATCATCATTCTCGTTTCGCAAGAAGGAACACGAGGAAGAACGTACAAGGACTATCATGACGCACGCACGGTTAATATTACTAGTTAGATAACAACAAGAATTTTTCCTCGATTCGATGCATCTCCCAACGATTTCTTTTACCGTAGGACATTTGTATGATTTTATCGAAAAGTGGGAAGGTTATGTTTTTTTCTTTCTTTCTAATATTTATCAAAGTATTCAAGGGAAAAAAATCAAAATAATTTCTTTTTTTTTTGTCTGAAGAAAAGCATACTTCCTTTAAAAATTGAAAAGATTGATTTCATAGAATATAAACAGAAAAAAACAATGGAGTTTTTTTTTCTTATTCAAAGGTTTATTCAACAATCTCAATTCTTAATTAAATCAATTTTTTTCTTCATTTTCCCATTACTTTGTTCCTTACCTTTTCAATTAATATTCAATCACAATGAATGATATTGAAAGCTTACGTCAAGAAGCCGAGTCGCTCAAAAATCAAATTCGTGTATGTACCCATCAATATTGTTTATAAACCTTATGTTGAAATGATTTATTGTCTTTCTTTTTAAGGATGCCCGAAAGGCTGCTTGTGATGCTACTCTATTACAAGTAGCACAAAATGTCGATCAGATTGGTCGTATTCAAATGCGTACACGTCGAACACTTCGTGGTCATCTTGCCAAAATCTATGCTATGCATTGGGGATCTGATGCAAGGTTTGCACGAAATAATCGATATAAATTGATCAATTTTATGTTTCTTATATTAGCTCGTCCTCTAGAAATCTCGTATCTGCCTCTCAAGATGGTAAACTTATTGTATGGGATTCATATACTACTAATAAGGTAAAACTATTTTTGTTTTTGATCTAATAAAAATATATTTCATGATCTTTGATTTAAGGTTCATGCTATTCCTCTGCGTTCATCATGGGTAATGACATGTGCTTATGCACCATCTGGAAATTTTGTTGCTTGTGGTGGTCTTGACAATATCTGTTCAATTTACTCTTTGAAAACACGTGAAGGCAGTGTACGTGTTAGCCGAGAATTACCTGGCCATACGGGTTATTTATCATGTTGTCGTTTTCTTGATGATTCTCAAATTGTGACAAGTTCAGGAGATATGACATGGTTAGTCATTATTAATCTTACTTGCTAATATTATAGTTCTTACTATTATTTTATTATCTTTAGTGCTTTATGGGATATTGAAACTGGACAACAAACAACTAGTTTTCAAGGACATACAGGCGATGTTATGTCACTATCATTATCACCCGATATGAAAACATTTGTTTCGGGAGCCTGCGATGCTTCAGCCAAAGTAATTCAAAAGATAATTTATTTACTAATAATTTTTATTTTCTATTTTCTTAGCTTTGGGATATCCGAGAAGGCATGTGTAAACAAACGTTTCCCGGCCATGAATCGGATATCAATGCTGTGACCGTATGTTATCAAACAATTGATTATTGTAGATTTTATTTTTATACTGATGATGTCATTTTCTTTTTAAATAGTTCTTTCCAAATGGATCTGCATTTGCTACTGGATCAGACGATGCAACTTGTCGTCTATTCGATATTCGTGCTGATCAAGAAGTAGGCATGTATTCACACGACAATATTATATGTGGTATAACATCGGTTGCCTTTTCAAAATCGGGTCGTCTTCTATTGGCTGGTTATGATGATTTTAATTGCAATGTTTGGGATACACTTCGTCTTGAACGTGCCGGTCAGTTTTCATAAACGAATGTTATTTTTGTTTTTTTTTGCTATAAATAGTCTTTTCATTTGAACAGGCGTTTTGGCCGGTCATGATAATCGTGTCAGTTGTCTTGGTGTAACCGAAGATGGAATGGCTGTAGCGACTGGCTCATGGGATAGTTTCTTGAGGATTTGGAATTAGTTTCAATTTCTATAAACTTTCTAAAGCAAAACGATCTTCTTTGCCACATCAACGACGACAACAACAAGAGCCAGCTTTCTTACCTATGTTCCTTGAAGCAATACAAAAAATGACTTTACTATTTGTTTATCTCATTCTTTCTCTGATTCTCTAGGCTGGTGGACATATTTTTTGTACGTTTGGTATTGCCAATTTTGCTTGTTGTCCTTTTTTTTTCTTTTTTTTTTCTTTTGTTCTCGTCTCTGTTGTACTCCTGTTGTTGTTCTTTCTTTACAGTGGTGAATCAGCGTCTGCCACATACACACGCACACACACACATACACACACACACACACACATACACACGCACACACACATATTCACGTACATTCATAACTTTGATACGGGTTTTAGTCTTGCCTGAAAATCTGTCTATCGTTCTTTTTTCTGTAAGCTGCTTTTTTTTCTTCTGACCTATCATGATCTTCATTTATTATCATCAACGGCTATGTATGTGTGTATGTGTCTTTCTAATCGTCGTATCGTTACGGACCGGAATCGTGTGAACATAGTTCTCACACCAGTCATCTTGTCGTATCTGTCTACTGTTGTGTGTGTTTCTTCTCAGAGCGAAAGCAGTTGTTCTAGTCGTTTTAATCAGCGCGTGTATCATTATGTTTTCTTTTTTTCTCGTCTCACTGCTCTATGCTCTGCTGCTAATTTTTTTCTTCTTGCTGCTTGATCTGTTGATGCGTGTGCGTGTGTGTGTTTCGCAGAATGAAGACTAACACAATGTATTTGATGTTTTCTTTTTTTTTTTGATTCGCTCTTTCTTCTTTTTCTCTTTCTCTTATTATATACTTACTTATTTAAAATACACACTCAACAGTCTATACAAACAAATAGAAAAACAGTTCAAGTCTTTATTTGTGTTTTTAACCATTCATATAATTGATCAATGTTTTGATTTTTTTTATTCATTTGATATGAATGATGAGCGTGTTGACAATTAATTAATATATGATTAAAAATTAAATAGAGATTATCAAATGGTATTTTTTGATTATGAACTGTATGGTTTTGATTATATGATTTTAATAAATTTAAAAATTCGGATAAGAACCAATAATGATTTCTAACTATAATTGATCGAGCACATTCGATAAATATATGATTATTTTTCATTGAGAGAAAAAATGTATTTGTTCTGTGACATAATAATATTAAATTAATAATTATTAAGAAAAACATGTTCGGTCAGATTGTATTTGCGCCATTTCTACTTTTATCTTATCGTTCAACTAATAGAAATTCATATTAGTACGACACCTACTACAATCGACATATATTTTCATTTGTCTATTGAATTATTTCACACTAATTTAGAAGTTGGGTAAAGGATAATATTCATTGAAATTTTTCCTATGATGCCTATACACTTTCCATATGCGAATCCAAATGCAACAGGATATTGCTTCTATAATGGAGGACCTGCCTATCGTAGTTTTGCAGTTAATTATAATCCTTACTTACCATCATTGTGTTCAAATTCTAATAGGTTTTTACCTACACAATCACAATCACAATCACAAGCAATAATGTTACCAACAAGGAAACCCAATAAAATTAATAATAATAATCAGAAATCTAGACCAATTACAGCAAATAATGCTAAAATTAATTCAAATTTAATTTCATCTTATGAAGACAAGAAAGATACTGATTCAAATAGTACTGTAACATTCAGTAAACAAATAACAAAACCAATATCGAATTTAAATCCTTTCGCTAATGAATTTTCTCTTGTAAAGAATAATAATCAAATATTAAATGTATGTACCGAAAAAGATTTATCATACAAAACTATAGTTGATAATTTAATTGAACAAAGTCTTCAATCAATTGAAGCTATTAAAAAAGCATCAAAGTATATTTTATCTTTATTTAAATTTAAATTTTATTTTGCTTGTTCCATTTTGAACATAGAAAAATTTCTGTTAGTGATGTTTCTATTCAACATTGTCAATCAATCGAACAAACAAATCATTCCACACAAACAAATGATACCAATTTGCTTGAAGAACATAGCTCATGTACAGTATGTATCATAACAATAGCTTCTATGCTGAGAACAAAAATAGTTTTATGTAAGATCTCTGACTAAAGTTAAATATACAATAGCTCTATTGCGACTGGATATCGTGCCAGCTGGATATGCATAGTACTTGTCTGACTACTTTCAAATCCTCTGGGTATCAGTTAGACTCGGATCTATGTGTGTCAATACATATATATATATATGTATATTCAATGTAAAAATGAATTAAATCAATTTCCTTTCAAATTGTTTATCTAATATATATATATATTTAATACGTCAAAATGTCTCTAGATATATTTGCATTAGTTATTAAAAATTTATTCATAAAATTTCTAAAATTTCAACCATTCTATTTTTGTTCAGGATTGGTTTTTTTCTGTACAGTAATTAGATATTATCTATATTTTAAATTTATGAACATACATTTGATCGATGAATTTGTTTTTGTTTCTTTTTAGGTAGAATTAATGAATAAATTATTTGAAAATTTCAAATATTTATTATCATCATTAAATGAAAATGATTTATATAATCAATTAAAATTAATGAGTCATACATTTGATGAACTTCATTATTCAATATTATTTATTAATCAGATGCTAACATTAAATAAATCATCAATGAATAGAGATAATCTATTTAGTAATATGATAAAAGATCTTTCATTTGAGTCATCACCAATTATTTTTGGAAAAGAAAAACGGATCGATAGATTGATTTCATCATCGATAAGTTGCTCGTCAATACCATCAGTTTGTTCTCGACAGACTGATTCGATAGTGACAATTACACCAAAAGTATCGATCTTTTTGTTTTTGATAGGTAGATATTAGTAATACGATAGTTTATTTTTAGTTATGTTTACTTTGTCGAAAACCTGTCGATATTAGTGATGGTGCTATGCATGAAATAGTATGTTATCTAGTTTATTTTTCGAATATTAACATTTCTGTTTATTATTTAGTGTCGATTATTGTCATCACCTCCAGATATTTCTAATGAAATATTTGCTGAAGATAGTTTTTCTTAATTGCATAAAATTTGACTTACAGGAATATTCATTTGTTTCATTCTTTATATATAATACTATGAATACGCATAATTTTTCGTTTTTTTCCTTTTTCTTGGATTCACAAGAAAAATATATGTCATGAAAAGAATTAGTTTTTTATGTAATTTGCTTTTTGTTTTTGAAATTTTTGAAGAAAGATGTTTAGATAAAATAAATAGATTATATCGTTGTTATTATATGAATACGTACCAATCAAAAACTGAATCCATTAGATCAAACGGCAATTATTAATACGAAATGCAAACAAATATGTTCATTCTAATACAGACTAAACTAAAAGTCAGAGAAGTAGACATGAGATCTATTGAACATTGCTCTTCGCTTTATTTCTTTTTATAATTATATCAGATGGAAATAGTTTAGCGTGTCTGAAAGTCTGTTCGAAGTGAGTAAACAATCCTTATATAAATAGAAAATTCAAGGTAAGAAAATCAATTGTTCACCTTGTTCATTGACGGGTTGTTTTCTCCGGCACTTCTCTGCATTCATTTCATTTATAAAAATGAACTATTGTAAAAAGACAAATGTTTAAGGAAATGAATGTTCTAGGCTAACTCTCACCGAAAGGAACTTAATTGGCAGTAGTTTCACATCGAATTTCACGAGCGAACTTTTCTAACAATTGAATGTCTTTGATAGGATTACATAATTGCACGCCATGAATATGGAAAACAGAAAATTTCCTTGCATTATTCTGACTCGTTTGAATTAATATGGCGTGAAGAAAAATTATGACACTAATAGCTAATTAGGAAACTGATATGTGCCCTTATATGATGATCGTGAATCGTAAAGAAAACTATAAAAACAATGAAAGACATAATCTTAAATAATTTGCTTCATTTTTCAGACTTCAACTGAGTCAAACAATATACTTGTAAATAAATGGTTGTATCAAATTTAGATGGACAAAAAATTCATGTTTATTTATACTGGGATCAGTTTCATATCTGATAAACATCTGTTCTTTTTGTAGCAAATATAAACTTTAATCAAATAGTACCAACCGATTTCAAGGATATGATATCAAAATATAGATTTCTTCAATGAAGTGTATGTAAAATACTTTATTTTCTTTTTCGCAATCTGTACAACATAGTGTATATCAAGAATAACATTTATTCTGTCTGATTTAGTCCTTGCTCTTGTTCATCAGGAGAGAAACGACGTACTCTGATACTCTCAGAGCACACGGAGTACAGTAAAAATGTACTGTTTGTTATTTGTCTAGTTGTTTATAATGACTAAAAAGCTGAAGTGTGAAGATTCTCATTTTTTAAGCCGTTATGAATGACATCAATGATTATGATGTGCTCACACATTCATCAGGTACTGTTCGAGCCTACATCCAATCAAATATCAAATTATCTTTGACAAGTCATTAGTGGATACTTATCTTGAATCATCCACCTGTTAGTATGCTGACCGTGTGATTGATGTACTCAAAAGTTTTCTATGGTTAGTATGTGGTCAATCAATGTGCATGACCAAGCTTAAGCAGAAAAATTCTGTTCTAGAACGATTTTCTGCTAAGAGGTACTGTTGGTAATAGTTACACAACAAATATCGAGCTATCGCCTTTGTTCTTAGACAATGCTTCACACAGAAAGATAATCAAAAGAATTTTTTTTTCAAATTTTTCAAAAGAATTTTAGAATGGCTCAAACCAACAATAGGCGCAGTAGAGGTGTTTACCAGAGACCGTCACAGGGCAGGGTAAAAAATTTTGCCCTGCACCCTGATAATTTTTCCTATGAACTGATATACAGCAGATTTTTCAGTCGATTATGCTGACACGGTGATGGATTATAATGTATGTCGTTATGCGCCAGTCACTGTGAAATTTGTTGCTATGTCTAGTTCGGACAATACCAGTTTACTCATTTATTATCATATAATTCAATTATAAAAATAAAATACTGCTTCCAAGAGAAATGCAAAACATGGTAGAATCATTTAATATTGTATAAGAGAACGAGCTAATTTAAGAATTATGTGTATGATGAGTTTTTTGTGTACTCAAAAAGAAAAGAGTACACTATAGAATCGGTCAGTGTGTCCGACCGTCCGTTTATTCGATAACTCTTCACAATTACATTCGATTGAGCTGAAATTTTGTGCACAGTATTATCTCATCAATATCTAGGTCGAGTTCGAAGATGAGAAGGATCCGTTAAGAAATGGCTGAGTTATCGAAAAAATTGTCATTTTTGATCAGACCATCCCTGAGGGGGAGTACAGGGATTTTTCAAAAAATAAATTTCTCAGAACTATTCACAACATATATAAATCGACTCAGCTTTTAACGCTGATTCTAAATCTGATATTAGTTTTGAACTAAGTCATAGCTTTCTAACGAAACATCGCCTGAAAAACTTCTCAAAATGCACAAAAACTGCATCCNATTCTAAATCTGATATTAGTTTTGAACTAAGTCATAGCTTTCTAACGAAACATCGCCTGAAAAACGTCTCAAAATGCACAAAAACTGCATCCAGAAATCAAATTGCCTAGTTTCTCATGATAACTTTTAGTGTTCAGACATTCTAGAATGACTCGTATGTCCCATGCACTTTTTGCAGTACACATAACTCTCGGATGAAATCCGAAGTTTCCACATTTATTTTCTAAATGATTTCAGACATAAGCTTAGTGTTCCAGAGGAAATTTCACTTGAAGATTCAACATGTTTTAATGGTAAATTTCTTGGCATGTTTCAGTTTTGTATGCTTCAAAAAAAATACCTATGATACAATATTTGAGAAAGTATACAGTCTTTTATCGTCTTCTTCCTAACTCTCAATTGTATTTTTTCTTTTTACATTACGAAGAGTTATATGATTGTTTCAAATCACTGCAATATGTACATGAAACATTAATATACACGCTTCTAATAAAATAAAACGTTCACTAAAATAACCTTCGATCTACAAACATTCCAACTAAGTTCTCTATGTTTTAAATTATTTTCACTTGATATGAACTCGCCCGGTTATACAAAATTAGAAAATCTCTTGTTTCATGATAAATCTTACTACCCCATAATACACAATGAATCTCTTGCTACTGGTACATTTTGAAGAGTCTTTATTTATCCAGCACGATGAGTTGAGGAGAATAAATGTGAAAGATTTACTCGATTTCTCACTTATTCAGATTATATATATATTCAATTCGCCAGATCACGATAAGCGCATTATTTTTGCAGTGAACTGATTTTTGGGATAATCTTAATTGCTGTTTGCTACTCATATTTAATTATGTTTTAAGCGCATATCTATATTTTCTCGAATATAGATAAATAAAATATGAGTACTTTACTTTTCAGCGGTTACAACACTTTCATTTAGTCTTTACCTTTTTCAATATTTCAGTTCAATTTATAATCATGCCCTGCCCTGTCCTGTCTCAGGGCAGGGCAAAAAAGTTGCCCTGTGACGGTCTCTGGTTTGTATTGAGAAGTGAAATTCTTTTAGCTTTTCTATTTGAGATTATTTCTAAAGGAATTTCACAGACAATCTGACACTTATTTTTCAAGCTGCTTTTCTGTTCATTCAAATATCATCATAAAATTCAATTGGAACATATTTGTTCGCATATCAACAAACAAACAAAAACATGAATCATGAATTTTGAAAAAGAAAAAAAAATGTTACGTTTCAAAACTAAATTTGAATATTAAAAGTAATGCTTTCTTCATATTCATTCAGGCGACTTTTAAAAATAAACATTCGATAACGTCGCTCGGGATAGCTGCTGTAGAATTTTCATTTTGATGCTTTCCTTTCAATATTTTACTGATAACTCGTTTTTTTTTAATCGAAATTTTATCGAACTTATTTGTCAACTGCTTGCTATTGTTCACGAACCGATGTTAATGTTTTCGGACAACCATTAAGTAAAAGTGTTATTACATAAACGTCTGATAGAGCACCATTTTTTATTACACCTTCTAACCGTCTGATATACATATCCGAGACAGCAATAAAAACTGTTCAGAGATATTTAAAAATTTTGCAAACGTTATTTTACTTAAAATAGTCAGCTAGTTTTCGTTAAGTCTAATCGGTAGGAGAAAGAGAATTTTCGATTAGCATAGATAACAGTGTAGAAAGTTCGAAAGCAGTAAACTGTGATTAAACGTATTGAATCGATTTCTCTTGAAACATATACACGACAACTGAAATTCAAGCTAGTTCAGCATTTTTGCTACTATTATTTTCAGTTTGATACAGGATTTTTCTAAAATATAGACTTTTGTAGAAATCATAGATTGAATCTTATGCCAGTTAATACCACTATCTTCGTCTGGATCTTTCTCTAATCACGAATCGGTTCTTATTTTTTTTCTATGATGAGGCGTTGTCCGTGCCTATTCTGATTACGTCACGTTTAATGGCATTGTGAACTTTATCTTCAGCATGTATTAAACAAAAAGTAATATTGCATTGTTACATTTTTTTTGTTTTTTCCTGTCTATCCTTGATTGCCAATAAAATCCACTTCAATGAAACAACAGTGAGTACCTACTTGTAATAGAGCTTGCAAGAATTACTCTATCTGTGATGGTAAAGAATAGAATTTCAGCATTTTCTTTTCTTTTCCATATGTGACGTAAAAATTTGGCTAGTGCATCAAGTATATATTCCTTTTATCAATAGAATATACTGAGAGATGATTTTAAAAATCAATAAGCGATTGTATGCAAAGAATTTTATTGAAAATTAAGTTCACTACATGAGTACCTTTAGTAGTGGTTCTATTGATAATAGTAGTTTGCCGTTTGGTCATGAAACTGATCAGATGAATCTGTAGTCTGTTTTTCCTTACTCTGATCTTGAACTGGCATTTCCATTCTTATGTTATTAACTTCATTTTTATTCTCTTGCTCAACAGGTTTTTTGTATGTATGCAGCGTTGAGTCATTTTCGTTCTGTAATTTTCCGGCTCCTAATTTACGGTTTTGTTCGTCTGAATGTTGTGATCGAATTATTAAATATAACAAAATAATCCATAGACCTTCCAATCCGTTGAAAATAATAAAAAACCAGCCTAAAATATTGCCCGCTTTTTCATCGACAATTGTAAGAAATGGGCCGAAAAGCCAACCAATGCCTTGTGTAACACTGGATAAAAGTAAAATAATCACACATCGTTTCATTCGTTCATATGATTGATGAGGTGATGTTGCATTTCTGACGTGTTCGATTATACGATGAGCTACAAGAATGAATATTAAGATATTCAAGAAAAGGAAGACACCAACAGGTATGGTTAGAAAGTAGTAAATAACATCGCGAGTAAACCAACAAAGTTTATACGGATACAATTGAGTAATGTTGTATGATGGATTGGAATTAAGTCCAGCTGCGACACTGACCCATATAATAGATATAAAAAATGAAATCAAAATCATGATAAACAATCGTCGATATGATGGTGCAGGAAATAAACGAACGAACCGTAAATAATTAAAATATGCAACACTCGTCTTGATGCAAAACATGAAAATTAAAAAGAAATAAACGAAAAACATTAAAACACTTGAACTTAGGAAACAACTTGTTTGATCTTCCGAAGATGTTTTTGCGTAAGTTGTCATTGCAAGAGCAATGAAGAAAATAAAAACAATCATTGTTGCCGCATATGACATCAACGGGAGTAAATCATATGTTTGTAAACTCATTATTGGATTTTGAATTCGTGTCAAAATTGTATGAAGCACAACCGCAAGAAAGCATAAAATTGAAATTGATTGAAATACCAAAGATGCAATATCTTGTGAATTAAGGTAACGGGTAAGACGTGTCTTAGGCAACCAAACAAGAGCGAATGTAGTAGTATGATTGCAACGGCACTCATATCGTTTGAATTGCTCATCATAAGCAGGTTTTGTACAACCAGATTCATTCCATATGTGATTGCTTGTATCATAGAAGGAACAAAAATAATCTGCGGCAATCTTAGGTTCAAAATCCGATAAAACTTTAAAATAAAGAGATATGTCAATCGGAGCTGATGTCGCATCATTTCTTCGCAATGCCACCATGATAATGGATGATGCAAGTGTTTTATTTGTTGTGTTGTCTACATTTATGTACGTAGTAGGTTTATCAAATATTAGCACATTTAACGAGCGGACACCGATTAAAGATTGCTTACTAAGTATAGCTGCTGCTGAAACATTCGGCGTATTCACATTGTTTATATTTGATGAATCGATAACTTTGCCGCCAACACCAGTTGTGAATGATGCACCTACAACGATTGTACTATTTTCTTGTTCTACTGACTTTGCCACAAGGATGGAGTCAGTGGTCTGTTTTGTTAAATCTGTACTGTTTATAATAGTAAGATAATTATCAATTTTATCTACGGTTAAAGTATTTTGTGAAGTCGATGATACATTTGAATCAGTCACTGCACTTATATATGACGAAAGTCCCGCGGCAATGACACTAGGATCTGTAGTATTCTGCAGAGTATTTATCGCATTTTCCTAGAAGTAAAGAACTGATCCTACCAAAAAGGTCTGTATATAATCTCGTACCCTAGTTGTATTCCTTTCTCTACATTGGCCGCTTTGGAAGAAATGTGATGCATTTTGGCAGAAGTTTGGATCCCGAGTAGTACTCCACTTGAAACTTGTTCCAGTAGATGTTGTAGCTTCAACTGTGTTTGATGCAGTTGTACTTGTAATTTCACTAGTACCTGCTGCACCTGTAAATTCAACAAAAACTATTGAGTTTTTACTTTCAGTTGTAAGTACAGCACGGGTGTAGATTCAGGAATCAGTCTTTGTGTAGTTGTCAGGGCGATTATTTTATCAGTCGCTCGGTTACATACGGTAGAAACGCATGTTCAATTAACAACAAATGGTACATGTTATGTTGTCATCATAGACGTGTCAATTTTCATGGGCAAATAGTTGTTCAAAGTAAAACTCAAACGAAACATTATACAAACGACGAAAGAACGAAATAATATGCTCAGCTTTGACTGGTCTATCTAGGATAAGGTCACTTTATCGTGGTGAATGTATGCGAATATTAAATGATGGTTTTTCTTTATAAATACGTACTTGTTGTGATTTTGTTGCTCTAGAGATATGAGCTAAACTTATGAATATATACGAAAGATTTTGAGAAGGGATAAGGAATACTGTAAAAGACGCGGTCCAGTATTTCGCAAATTTGCTTTTCATAGTTTTTCTCGGTGTCAGTATGAATATTAGAATAATAAATTGAGTGTTCTTTTCTATATTCTATAAATCAAATTGCATAATTTACGTAATCTTTTGAGGAAAGATAGATTGACTTAATTTTTCTATTATGAAAAATGTCATCCAAGATAGAATACATTTGGTTATCCGGTATTCTAGTAGACGAAGAGCCATCACGAGTACCTAATTTTATTGTCGCACTATCGGTACTCGGTGAACAGTCTGTACAAATGAAAACAAGTGTTAATCATCAATCTAAGTAATTATGGCTTATTTCTATAGGAAATAGATGCAAAACTTGAACTTGCTGTTGATTCAATCATACGAATCGATTCGATAGAATTTAAAGAGACTTCAGAATTCATTCATATAATGTAAAATTTCTTCCTAAACATTATTTCGTCCTAAATCTCACTTGCATGCGCTGTTATAGCTGTATCGCCCATCGTTGAATAAGTTGCTGATTTTACTAAAATGTAAGTTTTCGTCTTTCAATAAAGCAAAAATTGAAATAATCTTACTTGCTTTCTCGTTATCAACACGTCTCATTTGTCGCACGTAATCGCGTGATACCGATTGTTCATAACGAGCAAATAATATTTTTTCATTATTTTCTTGTGGAAACTCTAATTTCGATTGCACTACGATTTGATTGTAGATCATAATTATCAAATAGAACAGTTGAATTATATTCATCGCGCCAAAGTTGATTTTCCTACCATTTGAAAGAAGACATCAATACGAATAAAAAATACAGCTATAGCTACTTTGTAAGTGTCTTGATTCGATGACCGGGGAAAACACAATGGGTATGTTGCTGTTTTCTAGACTTCCCTTAATGCGCAATAAAACAAAAACTACCTCGAGCAATAAATTCCAAGTGAAATATTTCAACATTACACAATATATATACCTACGGTAAGTGGATTATTTGATCTTCATGTAGATGATAATCCTTAAAAATATCAAGTTTATAAAATCAGGAAACAGTGAAGCGCCGTTTTACATGATTTTAGAGATGAATAGCAAAACTATCCGCATGATATTTGTATTTTTAATTAGCTTATTGTCAGTGTTCGTTTTCATAGTACACAGTTTTTATAGGGCTCATATTTCATATTAAGTCTTTTTTTCCAGACTAGACATGATTTCGTTTATTCCAATTTTACAAAGTCATGTTCTTTTTGTGCATATTTTTATACTATAATTGATGTCTACAGTTTGCACTTGAATTCGTCATTGTAAAAAAATGGTGCTCAGTGCCACTTTAAAATCTTGAAACGAATTTTAGATATGAGTTCCGGAATTCCAATGATTTTGAGACATATATGTACTTTTGTTTGTTTTTTTATGAAATTGCTTGTTTTGCAAAGTCAGTAAAAGCCGAACTGCCTAATTTAGAAGGTTTTGATCATTTTATTTTAAAAATTTATGAGATAGTTTCATTCATAGATATGTTTTGGTCGAATAATCACATAGAATCTAATTCCTTAGATATGTTCAAGCTCATTTTGTATTGAAAAAAAAGAAAAAGGCGACGGAATAATCAATCTGATGCATAGGAAAAATGAAATAAGTAGACAGACTTGCGTTCTGTCAAGATATTGAATATATGATATAATATTTCAATCATGACTCAGTATGCGGGGAACTACAAGAATCAATATCACAATACTGACGAAAATATAAAGACAGACTAGTATCGTAGAAAAATAAAAAATATCATCAAGAATAAATCAACAAAACGTATCTTGATATGTTAAAGTAATTTAAAACGATGCAGCGGAATTAAATCGAGCTACGAAACTAAGTTATATGAAATATATAAAAATGATATCATAAGCATGATAAATAATCGTTAATATCATACTTGCAGTAACACATGTACAACATCGTTTACATTCAAGCTTTGTGACAACATTTTTTGAAAAAAACGCGAGTATACAGGAGTGTTCTTCTACTACGAATGAAATAGATAGAATACTGATTTCCGTTAAGACAGTCTCTATTACCTTCTAGAAAGTATAAAAGCATTCCGGATGATAGGCAACTTTTTATTATATATACTCTGCGAAATAAATAAAAGAACATTTTCTTGAAATTAGAACTCTTTTTTTTGTGAACAGTTAAAAAAGTGAAATCTGGATAAAACAGTATGAGCGAATGTGAATGTGAATCAAGGGCGCGGTTCATGTGGTATCTACAGTTGTATGTGTAATTCGTTGACAAAGTGTAGTTTGATTAGCTTCTCTTGTTCAGCCTAGTTTGAGGTTTCGAATTTTTTAAAAACTAGAAATTCGCATTCGATCATGGTACTTTGAAGTATAGGATTTTTCATAAAAAATTATAGATATGTAGAATTTTTTTCTGTGCTCTGTTTTGATTGAGAAATATCAGTTTTTGCAGCTTTTCTGAATGAACTTAGCAGTAACGCTGACACTTTTTCAAGATTTTTATGCTATTTATTTTTTGTATCCGTACAAAGACTTGATTCAGATATCGCCATAAAGTTTAATTTGAACATATTTATTTCCATATCAACAAATTTCTATAGATAAACGGACAATGTTCACACAATTGGAAAGAAATTCGAAATAAAAACGTTCAAATTTCTTGGTAAAAAGTGTGAACAACGTCAGTATATTTATTGTGATCAACCGCCGATTTTGAGCATTTTATTTGAATTCCAAAAATTTGATAGCAATCGTGCAAAGTTTCTAATTATCCATAAATATAAAAATTGATTTTTCGACAAATTTGTCTTCCATAGAAGATCTCTAGTACTAGTAGTTCTAGTACAATTATACATATCCATGACTTCTAAATCTCTGTAGTGTTCTATTTGCCAACATTGCTATGATACCATACAGAATATTATTTAAATAGTTATATGTTCGTATATTTCAAAAAATTCATTTAGTTTCTGTATATACATATCCTTGTGTATATTTATATTTTAGCTTTCTGTCTTTCGTTATGAAGAAAAAAAGAAAAAGAAACCATAAATACGGCACATTACAAGAAATAACAAACAAAAGTTTAAGACGAAGAAAAACAACAATAATATATAGGCCTAGATCTGTATATATTTATTCGACTGATGACACATGAAAAATAAATTCTACAAACGCAACGTTGAAATTAATTTCCGTAAAGAAATACGAACGATGCAAGACAAAGAAAAATAATTTTACATGAATGCTAAAGGATTGGATGTGAAATTATTCTTACTGTTATCAGTCTCAATATTGTTCGAAGATGATAACATAGCCAGAGTTGAGTCATTTGGAAAAAAATCTGAATAGAAATTATTCTGTTGAAAATAATCATTATGCCAAGATGATAAATTTTCGAAAGCAGATGAGGATGTTGATAATAATGGAGCCAGTGGAGTACCAGAAGTATTTGATGATGTCTCATCAACTAAAAGATCTATTTCATCAGTTAAATTATGTGTATCATTCATTGGCAATGAGGTTGAAGATAACATGTGCGATGAATCTAAATAGTATGCAATTAGAAATAGGCGTAACGTTGCTTTCATTTTAATTTACCAAATAAATATTGATCTATTGGATTTGAAAATGACCGTAGTGATGGTGGTGGTGGAGGCGGAATAGCAGGCGGAGGCATTGGTAATATTTTCGAACCATTTGTTGATGGCGTTTGTGTTTGACGAATAGCAAAAAATTTACCATCAGGTGTTCGAATGTATGAACCTCGAGATGCTTTTATTAGATGAATGTTTACACCAGCTGGAATAAGTTCACGTTCTGATGGATTCAATTGAACTTCCAAAGCTAAATTAAGCAGATAAAATAATCATCTATATCGACAAAATACGTTTAGCAATTCGCAAGAATACAAAGATCATGAGTAATTGAATTTCAATGCTGAGAAACAGAAATAGAGAAACAAAACATCCACCGCTTGGCTTTCGTTTGTTGCTGTTAACTAGATAGAATGGCAATCTAGCACAACGTTCATTTATGCCCTATATGCCCTAAATAATCATAAAGTGTCATAACTTGACTTGCTTCCAGCCGAGTAAGCTGATACAAGCACTTCTTAGTCATGTAACCAGGATCATTCTATGTTTAATGAACGAAAGATTTGAACGTAGCTTCTGTTGAACAAAATAACTACTTAATCATGATGTCCGTTGAGTACTAAATCAGCCTAGCAATTTAAATATATCAACAACAGCTGCTTAGAATATGACAATTAAACAAAATACTCAGATAGACTGTATGAGAAAGAAAACGCTAGTGATCTCTGAAGTAGCGAAAAGTCATTTGAAACTGGAAACTCAAATATAACGAATGTGTGTCTCTTCATGATTTTCACCGGCATCCAAATACTTACGACTTCGAAGTACAATTTGTTCCACGGATATTCCATGTTGTTTTAATTGTTCTAATTTTCTATCGGTTGATTGTTGTTGTATATGATATGGTAATGGTGTCATTGATGCTGTTGGTCGTATCTGTTGATATAGTGGAAAATGAGGATCAAGCACAGATGTTGAAGGTGACGTATGAAGAAATGAACGTGGTTCATGTCCGTTAAACAATCGAGAATAACTAAAAGAAAATGAAATAAAAGATTAATAAACTCAAAAAATGTCTTATTTACGATCGAGATGGTTGTAATCTTGAACGATATGAAAAACTATTCATACGTTTTTCTTCGTGATACTCTTTTTCAGCACGTCGTTTTTCAGCTGATGTTAATTGATATTCTTTTCGATCGGATAAAAGAGATTCGTGTGTGAACGGAATTTTAGTTATTGATTGAGCATATTGTTTACAAGCCGATATTAGAATCGGATCATCAGTAATTTCATGAATTTTCGTTACTAAATCAGCAGCAGGTAATTCTTCTTCAGCCTAAATGAAAAAAAAGGAAAACTTAAATCTTCTTATTTTGTCTAAACAATAAATTTTTACTGCAAAATGTAAAAGATTTTCCACTTCATTTTTTGTAAATGGATTTTGTGGTTGTAATTCATCAACAACACGATCTGCCATTCCCTGTTTTGCTATTTGCCGATCATAAATACGTTTTTCCATAGTGAAATCAGCAATCAATCGATATATATAACAATGTCTCTTTTGTCCATAACGATAAACACGACAAACAGCTTGAGCATCGAGACACGGATTCCATGAAACATCCATTACAATAACACGATTAGCCGCAATTAAATTTATGCCCAGACACCCGGCTCTGATTAAAATAAAAACATTATTCTTATATTTAAATATTCAGTTCTATTTTACCTGGTAGAAAGTAAAAATAATTTTGCATTTGAATTCAGTGTATTAAATGCATTAATTAATTTTTCACGTTCCAGACCACTTGTACCGCCATCAAGTCCTGACAAAAACAAAATGGTAAAATAAAAATAGTTATAAAAGGGTCTTGAAACTATCCAGCCGACTATATTTTCCCTTGATCGTAAACTTCAATAAACATTTTTACAATGCACCTTGTCCTTCCAATTAAATCGACCAGTCAAATCAAATTATTAGAAATTTTGATTTTCAATTCGTCAAAGATCTAACTCATCTGTTTACGTTGTTTGACTGCAGTGCGAGATAAAATGCAAATAATTTATCTTCTGAATGTTAGCATGCGTAAATATACATAACAACGACTTCAGTCATATATTTTTGATACTCCTCGTCTTCTTCACTGCCTTTAGCATGTCATACTAAACACTATTATTATCTGCCTGTTGGGTAAACTTGTCAAATGTCAGATTGACATTAACACCTAACGGCGATTGTATCAGAGACAAGTAAATGATATCTTTCTAACTATTTATTCTTGACAATCATGAGCTTCATCTTTCCATCAGTCAAGCTTCTTGATTACTAACAAAACATTTCCGCCGATAGAAAAAGCATATAACTTACGATAATAATTGGTATTTTTCTCCCATTTTTTATCTGTATTTGGTATAATGCGTTGACTGAGAAATTCTTCAAGTTTATTCAACGATAATAAACTTTGACTGATAGCAAAAAAAAATATTTAATTTGGCATTTAAAACAACACAGAATTAACGCATACCTAAATATGAGTACTTTATCGCCAGCTTGAACACATAATTCCAATATAGCTAAAGCTAGTTGAAATTTAACTCCATTGCATAATTGTCCGCATACATATGAATTCAAAATTGCATTAGCCTTAATGTTATAAAAACATAGAATATTTCATTAAACATAATCAAAAGAAATTCTTACAAAGTCATAATCAAATTCTTTTTTTTCCATAGAAAACATAACTCCTTGTGGTTCATAAGGATTATTCACCGTTAAAGTTTGTGGTGATGCACGATTGTTCAAAGCTAAACGACTAGTTGATCTTGTTTTATTTGCCAATGGCTTATTTGATGAATTCAAATTTTGTTCAATGTCAAAATCTAAATCAAGATCAGCACCGTCTTGCCGATCACGTACAAATTTATATAAAACGTCAGAATGATTCCAAATCTAAACCAAGCAAATTGTTCACTATATTAATACTTCTTTGAGGAAAAAAAGCAATTATTTTACTTTGCAGCAAATAGCAAACGCTCGTAGTGGATTCAAAGTTTTTTCCGTTGAACTTGACAAAGCACCAACAGCTTCAAGAAATTTCATATATAATTGTCGTTGTATATTCGATAATTTTAACAGAATAACATATTCAGTTTTAGGCGGTAAATCTGTTTGTAGAACATCGTGGCCTCGTCTTTCAATGCAAAACTTTATTTTTTAAATATTCAAAAAGATATATTTTACCTTTGAATAAAACCTTCAAGTAAACTATGTAAAACATGTGCACGAGCACGCATTATTTTTCCATCTTCCGCTGTTGAATCAATACATTGTCCATTCAATATTGGACGCTCGAACATATTACAAAATTCAAGTTTACTACCCAGATAGTTCGGACGAACAAAATCAACCATACACCAATATTCTAAAAGAAAACATATCAACGAATTCGTTTGTTTTTAAAAATCTACGGAAATGCTAATTAATAAGAAGTAGTCTGAAATAAAGCTATTAACATGATTACAATTCGGAAGACACTAGCAAATCAGTCAGAGAGGTTGATTTTAACGGGTCATATCTTTCGTATAATTATACTCAATACTCCATAGATGCAAAAGGTCATAGAATCACTCAACAGGCGTTTTGAAAGATATGTGATATTAACTTTGTAAATTTTTAAAACAATTAATTAAATGGTTGTTACTGATATGAATTGAAGCCAGTCGAAAAATGCTTTGATAACTGAGGAAAACGTTCAATATATTATTTCACTTACCGATAAGATTATTTTGAAGTGGATAACCAGTGAGAACAATACGACGTCTAGAAGAAAAACAAAACAAAAATAATTGAATTAAAGTATTATTTATAAAATAAAAGCTAACTGTGTTCGTATTGATTTTAAGGCAATAGCAACGCCAGCTTGATGATTTTTTATACGATGACCTTCATCGCAAATGATCAGATCAGGATTGAGCAATGCATTTCGAACATCTAATAACATATAAATTTTAAATTAGAATCACGTTTTTCTAGAATTTCTTATAAATATAAATTCAGTTCCATTCATCAGGGCTGTAAATAACATGCTCACAAAATTTCGATTTCTACTTGCTAAATTATGTTTTCTATCATTGAGATACAAAACGAGAATATTATAATAATATTCATGAATATCGAATCTAAAGATATATCTTTGATCATCTTCAACCTACATTTAAATATTTGAACTAAGATCAACGTTAATGACAGAATATAAACCATCTCTATTTACTCGCCGAACTGCTCGACTAAGTGTCATCTAGGCATCAGGTTATTAATTTCTCTAAGTGCTAAATAACTAAAAGATATTTTAGGGTTTCTTGTTCGCTTTTAAATTGAACATAATAAAGAATTTCTTTGAAAGAACTTAACAGTTTATTACCTTCCATTGCTTCAAAATTTTTCTCTTCTTCTTCAAGATCAACAACAACAGGCGTTATTGGTCTTGATGCATTGGCTTTGCTAGTTTTTGTTGTCGAATTTTTCTTTATAACCATTAAACGAAACATCTCATAACCAAGAATAAGTGCACCTCCTGTTTGAGACCAATTTTGTACAATTTTAGCACGCTGAGTAAATTTTTTTGATGTTTCATTTATTAAATACAATTCAAATGATCGTTTATATTCAATATCAGAATGATTTAATGGGCACCAACGATTAAATTCATTCAACCAATTTTGTATCGTATTTATTGGTACCACAATAAGAACTGATTTAGCGATTGTATGTTGCAATAATGTATTAATAAAGGCAATTACCTAATAGAATAAAAATTTTAGAAAAAAATATGAACGAAAATGTTTTTTTTCCAAAACTTACTTGTAAAGTTTTTCCACATCCCATGGAATGAGCAAGGATGCAACCAAGTCCTCTTGTTCTTTGAAAATGTTGAAGAGATTCAACAATATTGTCATACATAAAACGTATACCACCAATTTGATGCGGTTTAAGTACGGGACAAAGATGCTTCGGTACGAATAAATCAGGATCATTGGTAGGATGATTAATATTAACTACAATGTCGCCTAAATATATAAAAAATAAATGAGAAATATTTTTCATCTTCACTAATAAAATAACGTCGATGATTAATTCATTTGGAACGTGATACCGTGAGAGCTAAATTCAGCCGACGATATCGTTTTGATTACAACCAGTTTACTGGCAAAGCTCTCACATTTCAATTAGAATGATAATTTTTGTTTATAGAGATTACATCGTAGTTTAATGAAAGGAATGAGATTCAGCTTGGCTATTGAATTTTTAAAATTTTCATTTTCTAGAGAAGCTCGTATTTTGATACGCAACTCTGCAAACAGTGAGAACTCAGCTATCAAAAGTGCAAGATTTCAGGTTGTAATTACTAAAAAAAAAAATCAAAATTCGATAGTTTATTCTCAACTCTCGATAAATACCTAAAAATGATTTTCATGAGAAATCGCCTTTGTATTTTGAAACAAATTTATTGATGAAACGTGCTCAATGTAAACTGAGCTTTCGTTATTCTCGGACATGCTTTGATACAGTTGATATTGCAGAGAACACCATTGTCAGTGACTCTTATTTAGCAGATTCACTGTTTAATATTTGCACTCATACTTCGAGTTTCTAGCCAAATCGATTTTATGTTGGGAAAAATTCTTCTCGAAATCAGTAAGTTTAAACAATTTCATGTGATCAATAATAAATGTTTTCTTTCTTTCATAAATCTACGATCGGTAACATTCACAATAGCAAAAAAGACTTTATCGTTCTGTTTGTACGCCAATGAGTCATGCAAGATTTATCACATTGTGTTCTTCCTCTTTATGGGTATTAGTTTTGACTCACTTAAAAAAACACTATTCGAACTAATAGAACATCGAGCCAGAGCTATCCTAGATCAATTAAAAACTAAACTGCAGACAGTTAACTGATTTCTTAACGATATAGAAATCATAAAATATTCGAAATAATTTACCATTCGCATCCGGAACATTAATCCTATCATCAAGATGCAATCTTTGTAATTTTTGTGTTAACTTATCATTAACAATTTCAGTATCACTATCCACATATTGTACATCAGAATCATTACTATCTTCGTTCGGGTTTATTGTTTCTTTATTTGAAATATTTTCATCTAAAAACAATTTTCAAAATAAAATAAATAAAATAAAAAATGCAAAATAATCAACCTGGATCAATCTTTGTTTTTGACAATGAATTCGTAGTTTCATCTTCTTCGTCATCCACATCATCCAAAACGATACAGTCTTGTTCGTTCGATTTTATTGGAGCCGATGTTTGATTATAATATGTTGGTAGATGAGTATAAATAGGTTGAAATGAATTATTTATTTCTTCCAGTCGTCTAAGACGTTCTTGTTCAGCTCTAAGTGCTGTCAATGTATCATCTTGTAGTTTATCGTTTGTTAATAAAGTACGAATATTTCGACGCATGTATGTTGGCTGTGTTTTTGACTTTTTTTTTCTTTTATGTTGTTTACTATCTGCTGATTGTTCACTTTTACGTTTTTTTATTTTTATTTTTAATTCATTAGTCGATGAACTATTTGTTTTCAATAACGAATATTCATTCGATTGACTATTGTCATCTGAACAGGAATCATCATCTTCATCGTTTAATAGATCATCCAATGTATCCGAAAGAGGTGAATCGCTCATGATAAGAAATCTTCTGTGCTCTTGTATTCACAATAGCATAAACTAAAACATCTGAAAATAAACAATCAATAACATAGTTAGCACACCTCCGTTTATTCAACATACAGTGTTGTTTCTTCTTCTTCTTCTTCTTTTTTGTTCCTTTCCTAGTTATATTTATTATTTGTGGACTTTCACTTTTCTTCGTTTGACGATGCTTATGATTGGATGAACAATATCAACCAATCAGAAATTTTCTTTTAAGATTTATGAATGTCAAAAATTTCTGTTGAAACAAATGATTATTAGGAAAATTTCTTCAACATAATTTATTTATCGGTAATGTTTTAGATACACTTTTTTTGAGAAAATTCCCCATGATCAGAGACATTGCTTTTGTGCAAATAACAAAAAATGCGTCATCTTATAAAAAAATTGATCGGTTTATTTACATAAAAGGGTCAATAAAGATTTGAATATGTATGCTTTAATAAGAGTAACAATGTCTCAATGTGAACACTCGTAGAAAGAGAATGATGTGCTACGAAAAGGAAACTTTTTTATTCTGTTGTTTTTATTGACTTAGTGAGATACGCATGCAGGGTTAAAGTAATATACACCAGAGAGATGTTCCTTGAAACTTCTAAGAATACTCTATTGAAATAATATTTTAAAAGCTACCTACGTCAGATGAGAAATGAATGATAAAATTTCTCAGTTATATCAGTGTATATAAAAAATAGATTCATTCAATTATAAATCAAAGGGAAAAATCACAATTACGTGATTCACTTCATTATTATTTTGAAATTGGTGATAATTTCAAACTCCTTCATATATAGTTTATGCATTTCACAATTATTGTGCAAGTGGAAGTTGTGATTAGGTAATGCAAGTTTTGTTGATATCCTCTAATTATGTGAAATAAAATATTTGTTTTGGTAAGGAAAACTTTTAAAAATAGGATGATCTACAACAGAACGTATGTAGACGAGTGGTAAAAGCATTACTATTGTATTAATATTTTCTTGATATCGATAATATTATGAAATATAAGCCACTGTTAGCAGTTTAAATTTCAAATTATTCTATGAATTATGTTTGCGAATCTATGAAAAGAATTTAACTGCCAATCGCTCTCACAGGGAGCTGTATTTTCTTATATCTCTTATTAATCTGATCGGTAAAATCTCGACTATGTTGAAAATACAGCAGAAATCTAGAATTGTCCATTGAAATATTTTATGAAATGTGACAGCGATGACACATTCTACGATGTTAGAATACTTTAGTATCACAATTTTATACAACAATGATGTTAGTATAAACAAAACAAACGAAGTATTCGAAACTAGTTGTATATCGAATGTCTGTATAGTATTGTAAAAAAAAGAATACTATGATCTACGAAGACATTTTATCTTAGTAAATTAAGAGTACACTAGCATCACAGATCCTTATCTCCATTTATTAGTGTTGGGACAAAGTTTTAAACTTTTGATAAATTTTCATTTCTATTGCTCTCTTGTTTCTGGAATTTTTATTTTCATTTCTGAGATCAATATATCTGGAAAATATCGAACATCAAATGCTTCGGTTAACTTTTTCTTTCTATCTTTTGCCTTTTGCCTGTTCTGACTTATACGGTAGTCACAGTCAAGTATCGATCTTTTGAGAACAGTTAGAATTGTTCTATTGCATTTTGGGTACCGGTAAGACTATTAATAAAAAAACTGAAATTTTGTTTTGAGCAGTATTGGTCAAATGAAGAGTCACGCTCATACCACACTCTCGAATTGTTCTGAGCCAGCCAATTTTTTTAAACAAAATGAGAATACTACATTGGATTCTATCAAATTTCAAGTGTGAATTTTTCTCTTTTGTCGTAAAGTCTGAATAGAAGATATAATGTGTTTTCTTCCATAGATCTATCATCAGCGATGTTTTCGTCTCTGATATATTTGCGGTGAAACATAAAAAGAAATCGATCTAGGTATCACTTTTCTCTACGCTAAGACTAAAAGCATTTTGTTTTTGAATTAGTAGTAGAAAATATACTCAAATTTGTTCAGTAGTTAATTGATATTTTTTTCTCATTTCAAATAGATTTTTTGATGTCTTCACTTAATAATATTTTAAAAAGATAAATAAGTTCGAAAATGAATGATTGGTATTAAGTCTGTTGTGAGTTTTGTGTTGCGAAAAGATCTTGATATATATATATATACATATATATATTGATTAAAGGTGTGAAAATGAAGCACACTACTCACAGCAATTAGAAATATGATAGATCCATCGCTTCAAGCTAAAAAAGCAAGGCGTCAAACTTCTGTTGAAGCAACTTCGTCTCGAAAAACTATGCGTGAAAATCAACCCAAAAAGCTTCACACCCTACTGTTATGGTCTTAAGTTCGTGTTTTAAATTTCAACCCGTCCATAGATTTGTCAAGACGATGATGGGAATCTCAAGCGTAAATAGAAATCCAGCGAATCAGTCTCATGCAGCCTTGGAGCAAGTATCAATCTGTCAGGGTGAGATCTGTGGACTTCAGAAGGCACTTGATTTGCTGAGAGTCAGAGTGAAAAACTCTTCTTTGAAAAGAACGGTTGACATTCACAATACAAGAGTTACGGCCAATTAACTATTTTAGTTGGATATTAGTGAAGAATTTCAAACGATACTGAAAACCATGGGAATAATGGCAACAGTTTTACATTAAAATAAAAATTTCCGCGATAGCTTAGCAAATGCTCTCAGTCCAACGAGTCATATATCTTGAGCATTACAGGCAGAGTTAAACAGGGTGAGATCATTCGTTAGAATGATGTAAAAACAGTATAGGCTATTTATTCATTGAACACACTGCTCACAAACAATATAATATCATACTTAATCGAGGGTTCGCGCTGCCGATTAGCAACTTTATCATAAGCAGGTCGTCGCGTGTGGTTTTCAACCAGAAAAAGATCTACAACTCCAATTTGAAGAATTGACTTACTAATTTAATCACATTTTCTAGTTCGACACTGTAGCGATCGCACTAATTTATTGATACGGTTTGCGTTAATTTTCTAGATTTGAGTAAGATGTCCAAATCGATTCTCGTAACAGGTGCCAACTCCTTCATTGGTGGCTGGATTATTAAATATCTTCTCGACAAAGACTACAACGTTCGTGGAACAGTTCGATCACAAGCCAAAGAATCACGAGTTCTTGATGGTATTCCAAGCGATCAACAATGTCGAATTTCATTCGTGCATATTAATGATATTACGACAGATTCGTTTTATGAAGCTCTTCATGACATTGACGGCATCATTCATGTTGCTTCACCGGTGCATTTGACAGTTACGGACCCAGAAAAAGATTTTCTCTTGCCAGCCATCAATGGAACCATAAACGTCCTACATGCTGCTCACAAATACAATCAAAACCATCCGAAGAAAATTAAAAGAGTCGTGATTACATCGTCATTTGCTGCGGTTAACGATGCAAGTAAAGGAGTTCGATCTGACTATTCCTACACCGAAAAAGATTGGTGTCCATTGACTTACGCAGATGGATTAACTGCTAAAAATGATCATCTCACAGCTTATCGAGCATCAAAAACTTGTGCTGAACGTGCTGCATGGGAATTTCTTGACAAAGAAAAGCCTTCTTTCACCATAGCCACCATCTGTGCACCGATGGTGTTTGGTCCACGCATCAATGGTCTCCAGTCATTAGATGACATGAATAGCTCGAATTCATTTCTTTGGCTACTGATTACAAGCAGCAAGGATGCTCAAATATCAGATTGAAAATTGCGCTTTCAAGTTGACGTGAGAGATGTAGCGTACACACATGTAGAAGCTTTAGAACGATGTACTGATACTTGCCAGCGATATCTTATAGCAGCAGAGACTTGGAGTCATCAAGCAATAGCTGATATTGTTCACCAAAGCTTAGTCATTCCGGACAGCATTAAGAATACAACACCAATTGGCATAGAAGATGAAAAACTGCCACATATTTACAATATCGATAGTTCCAGAGCACAAAACGAATTGGGCGTTACATATATTCCATTGAAAATGACAATCGAAGATTTAATTCTACAGTTTCTCAAACTAAAGGAAATACTAGCACAAGCATGATTGATAGACATAGAGTACTATCTATTTCTTTATCATTCATATCGCATTTTTTCGACAATAACACTTGTAAGCTACAGGAAACAAATAAAAAGTACATACCTAAGATGATTGATACGAAGTAAGAGACACAACCAACACATACACATCGGTTGTGATGTTTGAATCAATTGTTAATCTTGAGAAAAAAGAAATTTTGCAACGGCAAATAATGTCATAACCATATTTTTGAATACTATTAATTTTTATAGAGTCTCTTCTTTAAAATTATAACTTTGAATATTTTGTTACTTTTCAATTATTATTATATTAATTAGTTTATTTATATAGCTGTATAAATCATGCTTTCGATTCATTTCATCAATTCTAAATAATTAAATTTTGATAATTGCAGTAGAAAAAACATAGTCATCGTTCAAACGATCAATATTTGATCAGTGCTAATAGAAATCGGACAAAATCTTAATAAGTATAGTGACTGTAGATTTGATCAAAGATTGCAAATTAAAGAAAGCAAAGAGTCATTTAATCATGTGCCGCTTTTTACTTGCGTTCGATGTGGTATACAAGAAGAAAATAATGAATTTATTATATACCTAGTAGAGCACTCAAGTCTGAAGATAAAGTAAAATTATTCGTGTCATAGGAAAATAAATTATTACTAATTGGTGATAGAACAAAAACTGTGACGTATTATCCTGAGAGATTTTATTAGTCAATATCTGCTAGATGGCATGAGATTTTCATCTTTTACTGCTCTAATTGCAATGCAAATTTGTTTAGATAAAACGGTGTTTGCACTGAAACCACAAGATGATCTACTCAAAGCACAAGAATGATCTTTCGTGATTCTACTCATTAATCTAATCTAAATCAGCAGGAACTAATCAAGTACAATTAACGCTAAAAAAACAAGAAGAAAGCTCACTAAGGCTGACTTTTTTAAAACCAAGAAACGATCAAATCTATGCATGACAATAAATATGTTTTGCCTTCCTAAATGAAATACCCTGATATGACTGATTTAGAGCAGTTTTTATGCTTTAAAAAAAGAATTTGAACTAGTTTCTTAGTGAATATCACATAGAAATGGCAAAGTAGCTTACGCAGCAAAAATATATTTAAATGAAAGTCGTGCTTATGATATTTTTAAGCAAGTATGAATAAAAATGTCAATCCTATTTTCATGATAAAGAAAAAAATAAAGTTGGAATGTGCCGTCTATTGCAGATTAAACCAAAAATCATTTTCTGTAACAAAGTTCCTATTAGAATCTATTCGTACATGTGATTTATTATGATGAGTTATAAATTGTAATTCCATCAAATTTTCTATAACAATACCACACATGTTGTCTTCAGTAAATCATCAAGAGATAAAAGCTTTTTACCTCTTCATGACTTCAACATCTATCACGATAGAAATTCAAATATAGGTTGATCTTTTGGATGTTCACTTCATCTATTAAAATTTCACTCGGTTGGACAGTTAATTGTAACCAATGAAACTGTCCTATATTGTCTACTATCTTTCTCGATCTATTCATTTTCAAAATTCATCATGAGTAAAGCACATGAAGTAACCGCTTGGATTGATTTAAATATTATTGATAAATCATGGGGAAAATCACTAACGAAAGAATTCGATGATAAAAAAGCAAAATATCTTATCGAGAGTATGCCAGTACCCAATACAATAACTTGGTTAGTTTATCAAAGTTTGAAATACTTTTACAAATTTAGTTTCTTTTCTTTTCCGTTATTCATAGTGAACATTTTCTAGTTTAGGTCGATATCAAACATTGCTAATAATATCGATGAAGAGTTCGTCAGTCAACTATTATTGTTAATGACACATGAACAGTTTTTTCAGTTTGTTGCTGTATGTAATGCAAATAAAAATAACATATCAGATTTAATTCAAACGATTAATGATAAATATAAAGCCAAAAAATCGGTCACTATTGTTATTATTGGTGCAAGTTCCTCATTAAATCTTAGTAAACTGTTAACACGTTCATCATCAATAAAATCTCACGATTTAGATAATATTTATCTTGAATTGCAACTACAATTTAATTGTATTATAAAATTTGCTGAAAAAGATAATGATCTTGCATTACTAATTCTTTCATTTACAAAAGCAGTAACAGTTGCACCGGAAAAACGTTTAAAAAATTCATCACCATTTTCATTTCATGTTGACGCCATGAAACAATATAAACCGATACGTGTTGATATCGATCAAACAAATAAAACACTAGATCAATTATGGAAACAAATCCTACAACAATTTCCTCATATGGGTGTTGAACAAGCACAAGCTATTGTTAATCAATATGGAACTGTCCAAGCACTCGTACAAGCGTATAAACGTTGCCCAACAGAGAATGACGCAAAATTATTATTAGCTGATATACAAGTACGACGTGGTGCTGGAGTTTTAACAACAACACGAAAAATTGGTCCACAAATGTCAGAAAAAATTTGGAAACTATTTACATCTATTGATGGAAATGATCTTATATGAAAAGAAATTAACTATTCGATAGAGCTGTATTTTACTTGCTTCTTATCATATAAAATGTTAATATCTATTTTAATTTTTTCTAGATAGACCTATGTAAATGACATGATTTTAAAAGGTTAGGATTTAATGAATCGTTTATCTGCGCGTGTCACTCGATCATATTTTCTCTGATAAATTTAATGAAATTTTCCTAAGTAGAATATAATCTTTGTTTCGAAGATAGAATAATATCTTTCTGTCGTGTGTCTAAACGTTTCTGTTTCGAATTCATGATGCACGATTTGATCGTATTTAAAAAAAAAGATCTGAATTTTCTATTCTCAGCGCTGTTTAATCATAAGCGGCAAGCTGTGAAATCGGATGATGTTCGACAGTTGTGGATAGCTTTCAAAAAGGTAGAGATTTGTTTTTTTGGAAGTACAGATTTATTAGATTAGATTATTTCTCCTGATAATTCTTTCGTTTTTCCAATAGAAACGAAATAACATTTATATCTAGCTTTATTATCGATTTTTCATTACATCGTATAGTTTTTCTTTTAAAAAATACGTATATCTACGTAGACAGAAAATCAGCTGCTACAAATATGGGAAACTATTTCATGGCACCCACATCGAGTGCCAGTAGAAACCGAAAATCAATACCTTCTCAGTAACGATATATTTATTTTTTTCTAAAAAATTCAACGATTCTATATCGAAGAACTGATAATCTCTGTTCTCTATCTTTAGATTCATACATGAGTTTTTCCTAAAAACGAATCAGAAAGTTGATGCATACCAGTGGAAGCCGAAATATGAATAATTGTTTATTGTGCAACCGGAGATTGAATGATTTGCAAAAATGCATTTTACTTGTGCATACGTTGCAGTCTACTAGTTTTTTCTTCCACCAAGTAATCGTTAGCATGAAGAATAAATAAATATCAGAGATCATGATTCATAAGTCAAACAATAGAATTTAATTACTGATTTCGCTTCTAGATTAAAAAAGTAAACCATGGTTCTAGTTGTATTCGATTTTGATCATACAATAGTCGATGCTAATTCAGATATTCATGTTAATAAACTGTTCCCATCAGCTGAAGCACTCGATACTGCCGAAAAAAATCGTGCACAATTCGACTGTTGGACGGATCGTATGCAAGAAACATTTCGTGAATTACATAAATATAATATCAAAGAAATTGATTATATAAAAAATATGCAAGAAATGACAATAACAAATGGTTTTTCTCATTTAATTCAATATTTATCTTCATTACCAAATAGTCATTTAATTGTTGTCAGTGACTCAAATCTTGTTTTTATTAAAGCAATTTTAAAGCATAATCATCTTGATCATGCCTTTAAAGATATATTTACTAATCCGGCTTATTTTAATAAAGATGATCAATGTTTAATAATAGAACAATATGGTCAACAAACATGTTCGACATGTCCCTTGAATATGTGCAAAAGAGAAATAGTTGACAGATATCTTCGAACGAAATTTTCAGAACGAGTTCCCGTTCTATTTATTGGCGACGGACATAATGATATATGCGCAGCGAATAGTCTGAAAAAAGGTGATCTTGTTTGTGCTCGAAGTGGCTATCGAATGGCTAAAGAATTAAAGAAACAAGCAGCATCAAACGAGAAAAAACTTGAAGCAGACTTTTTCGAATGGAACGATGGACAAGCAATTGAAGACTTCGTTAAAGAAAATTGGCTGAACAAGTTTTAGAAAATTTAGTTTTCTTTTTCTTATTCGACATAATAAAATAGAATCTGTTTGAAGTTGATATGTGTTATAGGAGAGTACTTTTGACAGTATCAAAATTACAACGCCGTTCTAAGAATCCGCGAGAGAAAAATCTTCGCGGGGACTATTTTAAAACGAAATTTGAACTTTAATCAATTCAAATCTGATTTCTTTGTCAGCAAAATAATTATGTTATCGATATTCAATATATCTAGAAGGCTATTTTTCTATGACTACTACAAGTTCACAGCATGTATTTGTGCTTATCAACGAAAAACTTGGCGAATATTATTTAAATTTTATAATAAATAAACGATGTACTAAGATGAAAAATGCAATCGTTTTTTGGAACAAACCACTAGTAAAATCATTCAGATTTCATACTAGGCGTGAACATTTTCTGATCTAGTCGAATATTGATACTCGACAACAATTCAAAAGTCTAAATATGAGAACTACAAAAGCGCAACAATTCATGCCACTGGGAATTTTCTCACTTAAAATTTATTAGGATTTGCCATATTATGGAATCATAGAGTAAGTCGTTCTACACATCTAAAATATATTTCATGACAAAGCCAAGCTGAATTGAAACTTATACTGGTATGCAAAGATTCATCTCATTTATTCAATGACCCATAAAGTTGAACTTGGAATCTATTATTACGAAGCATGATATTCAACGTATTAAACTGAAAAAGCAGAAAATTAAAAGTTAACAATGTTGTTTGAAAACAAAGGAGACATGATTAAATTTGTTACTGGAGGTATTCATACGCCTAAAGATAAATATCAACGGTCCATCGACTCCAGTTAATATTTCAGATATCATCGTTATACTACGCATAATATTTAATTGGGTTTTCTTGCGAATATTAATATGAAATAAACTAAAATAAGAATAAATAGACTACATGCAAAAGAAAACTGAGTAAGCGCCTGATGACAACAGTGATAATTAATTAGTTTAGTATAATCTAATTTTTGCTTTTCTTCTATCATAGAAGAGCTATTTCACCAAGGGGGGAACGGCGGATTGCGGGTTTTTGGATTGCTCATGGCTTGACAATCCCGAAAATCCGCCATTTTGTCCTTGGAAATATGAGTATTTTTGCAATCGCATTATCTTCAGAAGAAAACATCCGTTTGAGCTGAAACTTTTAGGATATTCTAAGGACCACGAGGCCTACATATGATAAAAACTTCAGCTTGAAATTCCTTCATTTACAAGAGGAGATTGCTGGTAAATTTGGGATTTTTCCGGATTGCTCATGGATGGGCAATCCCGAAAATCCGCCGTTTCCCCCTTGTATTTCACTTTAGTCTAGATATTGACATAAAAAATGCTTGAGCTTCTTGGTCTTATGGGTCAAATATGCGAACGTTTCGATCCAGATGTTCAAAATGAAAATGAAAAACTATTTATGCTTCGGTTTTTCTCAAAAACAAACAAGATCGATATTGAATTAGGTTTTTTCGAATAGGATATCAATAGTTTCGCAATATACAAGGTATGACTTCAAGTTTCTTAAGCATAATTGAATATTTGAAGCAATGAGCTACAAAATACTATTGAAATAATGGTAAATATTTCATAATGAAAGAAGCATCGGTAGGATTGCATTCTTAACTGATTAACATGCAACAATATATTTGTTTTACCTGTAGGTGAGAAGATGTTTCAGTGACAGGACAATAATAAATCTCCCATCCATTCGTAAATCGAAGAGGCCCATTCAAAATATTGACCCTGATAGCATTATTGACAATGTGAAATTAGATATACGTAGATTAAGATTTGTCAAGGCATTGTATGTATGAATACACTTATTTCATTATAATGCACATGCTATTCACGTCTATTTCTTTATCGAATTCATCATAAACCAAGAAACTTGTTCAAGTTTCTTCATATAAACAAGAACCTTTATTAGTAATATGATATTAAATTAACACATTGTCTTTGGATTATGCTATTCCTAAATACTTTCGAAATAAGTGCGTATACAAAGATTATATAGAATCTATCCTATGATTTTATTCTGAAAAAAAAACTGGCAAAAGAAAAACATTGTCATGCAAGTTTGAGCATCGTGTTCCTTTAGATTTCTATAATTAAGACAGTAAATTTCGCATAAAAATTCTTGCACGTTCTTCAATTTCATCAGCAAATTTGAGCTGCCACTCCTGTGGGACAATACATTGTGACAAGCTAATAATTGACAAGTAACTCGTTATATTTTATATACATAGGATTACGTAATAGATCAACGCACAATAAAAGATATGACATGGATTGCAATGAAGCGTAAGCCCAAACAAAAAGGCGTAATCATGATATCTACTTATATATATATATATATAAAGTACAATTAGCAAGTGTTTCTTTGTCTTCTGTGTGGGATTCGCAATTAACAACAGAGAAAAAAACAACATTTATACAACACAAAAAGAAAAAGAAATGTAAAGAAAATATTTAATCTAAGTTGTATGCCGAACTTTAGTTACCAATTGATCTTTGGCAATAACACTGCTTGAATAATTATTTCTGTGAAATTTATTTTTATCCGTCAAAGATAATGGTCCTTTTGCATTTAATCTTTTAGTTTTAGCTGTGTTCTGATTTGTTATTGCTGTAGCGTTTAGTTGACGATTTGATTTATTTAGACAATTAGCAGGTACCGGCGGTTTGTTTTTAGCAAATCGTGCTTCAAAATAAACTGGATTTCGTGCTTGGCAGTGAATAAGGCGTCGAGTCAATTGTCTAATATCAATCTAATAAAGTTTAAAAAATATATTTAATTGATATGAAAACATTTTAGAGAAAAATTCAAATCTCACCCGAAATCGATTGTTAGTAAATCCATAAATAATAGGATTAATTGCTGTATTTGATACAGTTAAAAAATGAGCAGCTATGTAAAGAAATTTAATTAAAGTTGGATGAGTACAAAAAGCTTGATATGTTGTTTCTTGATAACAAATTAGGTTTAAGCATAATTGAAATACATTCATGGGCAGCCAAAGTATAGCATGAAGTACAACGACGGCAACCAAAGTTTTGATTCCCTTAAAGCACAATAAGTTCCATTATTTCAACAGTCTTAAAAATGCATATATCTTCTAAATATTCTGATCTTAGGATAATTTTTGCATTCATTAGGAATCTCTTATTCAATACAAAAAAATATGATTGCATACTCCTATATAGAATAGCCAGCGAGTCTTTTTTACTTCAAATGAAATATCATGGTCGAACGAAATAGCTTAATAATAAGTGTAAGCTTTAGATTTTTTTCTTATAATTGATTACCAATTTGTTAATAGATTTCTTAATCGAAATTTGACTTTAGTTGATACTGAAGGATTGAAAAAGAAAAGATTTCTATGAAAAACATTCATTTACTGATGTAAATCTCGATGTATAAATGATACACACAGAAAAATACATCCGATTTTTATGGAGATTATTATCCTGTCAATATTTACCGTATCATCAGAGTTTAGGATTTTTTTGCCAAAAATATTGTACCTAATTTTCTCTGATCAATAATTATACATTCAAAATCAGTTGGCATGCAAAATGTTTTAGGTGTAAATTTGTATTTACTATTCTACTTGTTTCTTATGAAATGTGAATTCTTTTTTTAAATTCCCTACTTTTATTACGCACTCGCCACATGAAATATATTTCTTGGTAAGCAGCGAATGCTGCTGACTAATTGAGAAATTTGTGCTCAAAAAAAAAATTTCACATCGATGTTTTAGAATTAAACTGATTGAGTAGCAATTTTCACTCTAAATTCAGAGCTATTTCATAAAAGACAATGGTATTCAAGGACTGTTCTTAATTATTCTCCATTAGTAGTGTACAGTCATGCTGATTTTCGCGATGAATCATTTGCTAATAAACGAGTTATAGTAATTTTTACTTTATTTATTGAATTTTTCATTTCTAGTATCAGTGGATAATTTTTAATTACATAAAAGAATTACTCGTATAATCTCTTCTCCATATATAGTCACTAGTTAATGACATCAAAATTGCGAAGTCGTATTACGGCTTGTGTTCACAGCTACTTATAATCGCGAGAAAGAATATTAGTTTGTAATGAAGTTTGAAAGTTCAACGGAATTACTACAGGACCAAAGAGGTTTCAGTTGTCTTAGAATGATAGTTTTGCTTTTAAATTAATATGAAATCACTTTTCAACTAGTAGCATTTCTTGTCAGCACAAAAACTTGAACCCATTTATGCTTGTCTTTTAGGTTTTACTTGAAACGCTTTGTTGTAAAAGATATTCAGCTAAAATTTTCCTTAGGGATCTGTCAAAATAAAAATTAAATTAAAAAACTATGTTTATTGCTTTACTGTTTGGTCTTCTGTCATTTGCCGATGTTTTGCTTACTTGAAATTTATTTTATACAGATAAGAAGATTTTCTATTTATCCTCATTCTTTTGACAAGACCCGGAGGCAACTTTAGTTGAGCGGTTTTAGATAAAATTATATGTAAAAAAAAGAAATTTCCTTCAAGCGTCATGGTTATTGTAAATATGTGAATAAATTTCGGCTTTAAATCTACTGCTTCTGATTAAAATCTGCCGGAAAACCATCAGAAAATACAAAATGTCGATGCCTGTACATAATCTAGATCACATCTAACTTGTCAAATGTTAACTCTAAAAGTAGTTAACTATTCTCTGTCTGCCTGCTAGAATCTCCATCCAGATTTCAAAATTAATGAAGTACCCATATTGACTTTTTCTTTCTCGAAATATTCCGAAAATATTTATTAGGAACGATAATAAAAACAAACGTCAACAAACGACTGTGCGATGAATAATAGACATTCAGAATTTATACAAAACATACTTTCATCTATCAATCATGAAAATATTATACAAATACAAAAATATATCTTTATTCTTCATTTGTCTGTTGTTTCGTGACTCGATAACTACGCCACGAAAATCAATATTATGCAAACTATAAATATTGGAAGATTAAAGATGATTCAAAATGACATTTATCTGTTCTTGCACTGTCACGTATTTTCATTCGCAAAACAGATGATCGGATTTTTTAGTAATCTGTTTTATTAATGAACCTTGTCACTCAACAATCTCCACGAGAGATTGATTAAGAAATACAGAAATTTTTGTATGCAGAATTCGTAATCCTAATGAACTTTATTCTCAAATAAAAACAAGCAAGTCACCAAGCAGACAAAAATTATACAGATATATTTTAATATAATTACTAGAATAGAGCGATGACAATGACGAAGAAAAACTAAAGATAAAAAGACCGATTCTATTAATTATCCTTTCTTTTTATGGCACATCGGCCATTGCATGCTAATTAAATTTAATACGCATTTTTGATTGTTACAATAAATTGATGATTATCCAGTGACTAATTTTTACAATGTTTAAATAGACACATGTCGTCGAAGCTGTTCTTTTTTTCAATTTCATACCGATTTTTTATTCTATGTAATAGAGCAAATAATCTTAGGAAGAGTTTTTTCAAAACTAACATTATTCTAAGTTTAATTAAAAAATGTCAAGTTGCACTCTTAAATAAAAATATTGATATTTAAAATGTCTGAATGGACATTTTAAGTAATAGAAATTAATAACCGCAATAAAACTAATTATTATAACACTTTGAAATCCATGTACCAATCAACTAATACACCAACACATTTTTATCGTTAATCAAAGAACTATTGTCAAAATGAATTTACAGATTACTTTTATAGTTACTTTAAAATGAAATGATTTGACGACCCTATTCCTTGGTGTATGCCATGCATAGTTTCTGACAGATCTTTCTTTGTCATTTGCAATCAGTATGACGTGGAATGTTTCAAAATTAATTGAGGAAAATTTCAACAATGTTCCTAGTACTCTGAAAACTTATGCGGAATATAGAGATGCTAGATTTTTTGCAAGTATATATCTATAACAAAACTATTAAAAATATACGTATGTCAAGAATAAAACTCCTGTTTAAATAGAGAGTTCCTCCTTGATTTAACCCTACTAATTACATCGATTTAAATATGCATACCTGTTTTAATTTTTTTTTGAATTGAATATTTTCACTTGTAAATAAATTTTTACTGCCGGAATTGTTAAGCTCAAAATTGAAGTCGTTTTTTCGTCGCCATAATATAACTGCTATGCGTGAATAAACGAAAGTTAATATAAATAATGGAATAAAATATGTTTGTAAAAAATTTAATATTGTTCTGCGAACTTCAACTGGTCGTTTTGTTTTATTTGGTAAACATTGTACTGTGTTTACAAGTTCGAAATGAATTTGTTTTAAATATAGATTGGAGTTTTCAAATGTTGTCACATTTTCAATTGAATTCAAGTAGGTGTCAAATATTGTACGTGAGCTCACCCATAAACGTTGTTCGTGTGTCGGCAATGAACGCGCTGGAGACCACAGTAAAGCCAAAGCTATACTTAAGATCCATATAACTAATATTGCTAATAAATTGCGTTTTTTTGGTGAATATACTTTAATCGCCAACGGATATTTTACAACACAATAACGGTCTATAGCTATTGTTATTAATGTCAATAGGACGCCGGACACAGAGAAAGTTTTGAAGCCATCCAGTACAACACACAAGGCCCGTGCATATAACCAACGTTGAAATATAATGGATGTTATTGTAAATGGTATACAATAAACGGTCATAATTATATTAAATACTGATAAATTTAGAAAAAATGGTGTTAATTCTGAACGTGAACTACGACCAAAAAAGAATATAATTATTGCTATAAAATTTGTAAAAAATGAAAATATCACTATGATACCATAGACAAGTAAAATAATAACTTCGTAGGTATACAAATCAGAAAACGATAAGGGAATTATTGAATATTGATTATAAAGAGTTTGCAAGGATAATTTTAATGGAGCTATTTCATTACGGATTGAATTGTCATTTGATGTCATTGTTTATGAGGTATAGAAAATATAATTGTCTTCAATCTAGAGAAAAAACAAGTTCGTAATATAATATGACGCCTTGCTTTTACTTTTTTTTTAAAGTACCTCATAAGTGTTCAGCGTAATTTATTTTAATTTATATACCAATCAGACTCATTTTTGTTGAAGTTCTTCATCTCTCTTGGTTTTTCTCTCTCGCCTTTCTCCTTATTTTTCTATTTCTTATCCTCCGTCTTGTCTGCCTTGATAATAGACAACGCTTATTTTGCCTTAAGAAGAAAAAACAAAAATGCTAACGATGAGCGATGGCAGATCAATCTAGTGTGTAATATAATTTACTGAGGGGTGTTTATCCGTTTCTAAGATGGAATATATTAAATATGTAGGGTTCTGATTGTTATGCATGGAATAAAGTGTCGTTTTTACTCATGAAGCAGAAAACCTGGAGTGAAATTTAAAACTATTCTTCGATCTATTTATATCAACAACAACTTACCTATGATTTGCTGTTTTGAGTTCACCGTTGATTAACAAAATTGCAAATAGAACACGAGTAAATTTTATAATACATATTGACACGCTATTGTGAATCAGTGAAATAAATTATTCTCTTTTCTATTTTTCTCTAGATGTTTAGATTTACCAACATGATTAAAAAAAGAAAGAAAATAAGATCTACTCTAATATTGATTATTCAAATGACAGATTTTAAGTTACACTGCTTTGAATCAGGTGTTTCTGGATGAGCAAACATTGAACATTTTCTTCCTTTACAAATCAATTTCTATGTGTCAAAGTTATACACAATTGAAAAAGAAACTTCCTAGATGCCAGACTAAAATGTCTGTCATCATCACATTGATTATGACTGTTTCCTTCCGGTTATATTCCTTCCTTTCTACGCCCATATATTATATTATATTATATTACACTTGAGTATTACGGATAATTTCAAGATTGTAAATACATAGATACGTGTAAAATAAAATCTTATTCGTACTGCTTCTTGTATAAATAAATTCAAAAACAAAAATAAAACATGATACTGAGAAATTATTGATTCTGGTGTATGAATATTTTTGACTGAATCATATCATTCTAAGTAAAAATGTGTCAGATGTGTCGTAAACTACGACACAAAGCACGACACATTCGAGTACGACATAAGGTGCTCGTTGCGACACATTCTGCCCAGCAAGACCACGACGCATTTTTCACGACACATCCGACACATTTTCATTGGTTGTTTTTGAAACGCATATTTCGATATTTTTTGAAAATTTAATTACGTATATCTCTTTATTTTTTGAAAATTCAATGTGATCAGATCCTAAGATCTGGCTGATTTGGAATTGATCCGATTCCTATCAGACTATCCAGTGAAGTCCTTCCCGGATCATGGATCGGGATGGTAATTCCTTGATTATAAAGTAATCAAGAATTGATTTCAAAGAAAATTTTATTTCGAGAACTTATCTTCCATGCGTTCAACGATGTTGCTTATATGTCGCTGTATGTTCATAACAAAACGGTGAACGACTAGTCGCTTGACAAAACGCGAAAAATATACGACACATTTTTTTAATTAAAATTGCGACACAAAAATTTACGATACATTTTTGTAATAGAGAGCACAACACAAAAATTCACGGCACATACAACCGACGCATTTTTATTTAGTGTGATAAGAATACTCGTAAGGAGGCGATACAGTAATATTTTATTGGCGAATATGGAGTATTTCTGTCAAAATTTTATTACAAATAAGATTCTCTGTGTTCGCTACCATCGCATTAACGGGTGGTCGGAAATTTTTGGCAAAAAAGTAAAGAACTTATATTTCTACATCATCTTTCACTTTCATTTTCTAATTTTTTTATCGAAAATACAATTATACCTAACAAAACAAAAATATATATTCACATAATGGAAAAAGGTCCTTTGTCTTCAATTTTTCGTAATTTTCCACGAACACCTTTCATCATGGTTTGGACGACTTTCAAATCAATCCTTTTCAATTGTGTTTTGATTCTGTTGATTAATTGTTCTTGATTCACAGCTATCTACTCTCCATTGTTCACCTGCTAAGCCAGTACTCCACAAAAATCCTCGATTGGTCGAGCTTTGGGAACATTTGGTGGATTAACATCTTTTGGCACAAATGATACTTTTCGTTCATTCAACCAATCTGTTGTTTTATTGGCATAGTGTGAACCGGCTAGGTCCGGCCAAAAGATATATTTATCATTTATATGATATTTATTAATAAATTTGATTAATTTTGTTAAAAATTTACAAATATAGACGTCTGCATCAACCGCTGGTCCTTTTGTTCTTTCAATGTATGGTGTTGAAGTGCCTGTACTGGATAACGCCAACGAGACCAAAATTTTAGACTTGAATTGTCGTTTTGATTTATACTTTACATCTGATGGAGTATTTTCTTTGCCAGAAGAATAAAATCCTGCAATACTGGGCATTTCAACGCCTGAAAATGTAAAATATTTCTCATTGTCAATAATCATGAAAGTTTCAGAATCTGATTTCTCGACGTAATTTTCGACACTTGCTTGGCAATTTTTCGAGTTATGTTTGAGTGTATTTTGGAGCCCGTTGTCGTTTGTAATGTTTTAAGTCCATCTTCTTCAAATTTTCCTGAATACAAGTCTTTGACACATTAAATTTCAAGGCTAACTTTCTTTGGCTGGCGTCGACACGGTTTTCAATAGATTCTTTCAATTCTAGTCTCTGATTCTGATTCAATTTTCGTGGACGACCTTTTCTTGGCTTGTCTTCACAAGGTACACCACTTTTGTAACGTTTTATGGTGCGATAAATTGTTGTTCGTAAAATGCCTTCAACTTGAAAATGTTTTACAATATCAGATTCTCTCATTCATCCAAGTAGAGAATAGATACGTTTTCGTACATCAACTTTTTTTCCACACAGGAAACCATTGTTTAAATGTTTTATATATATATTTAGAAAGAGCTTGCAATGTGCTACAAATCTATATAAAAATGAGTTTTTAATTGAAGCGTTTAGGTGACGTTTTTTGGCTAGACATTTTGCATCAAAACTTTTCGACCATCCGTTAATAATTGAGTAAAGCTTCTATTTTGATCTTAGTTACTATCATTTTTACCTTTCAGATTATTGCATGGATTGAAAGAAATTTCTGCTTGTTGCATATAATAACGTCTCAGTGGAATTCAAATTATATTATTTCTTCTAGTTTGATGATGATCCTTCATTATTTTGAAAAATATATCAATGCAAATAAATATGTCAAATATCAACAATATTAAATCGAAACTAATTGTTAGAGATATATTTTATGTTCGAAAACAAAATAGTCACATAAAATAAACAATGATTCCTGATTGCTAATAATAGATCTAAGTAGAAAAAAAATAAGCATTTAGTCCATGAAAATTATTTTTGACTTTTTCTAAATTTTATTTTAAGTAACTAACAATAGTTCGATAGCTTCTAATAAAACACCTTTTATTTGTCAACGAGAAGTAGCTTTAGCACTACTTAAAATAAGAGTATACAAGCTTACTTTTTCATATATCTGCAAGAGATATGTATTGAGTGTCGAGATTCCGTCGGCTCTGGTAATGTATTTTTTCTGCCTTAGGCTCGTAATTAAAAATGTATTTTTTGTAAACCTTCTTTTTCATAATGAGATTCCAATTGATGATCCAAAAAACATCTACGCAGTACTGAACAAAACTCATTAAGAGCTTTCGAGCAGAAGAAATAAATTACTTTTTATATGTTATTTGATCAAACTCACAACTATATTACAATCCACAGAGAAAGTTCTGATTTTCGATACACTTTTGTTTTCAACTATATAAATTCGCAGTGTTTTTAAAGAGACTTTTATATTCTTGAAAGAAGATTACGGAAAGACCAACCGCTATTTTCTTTCTAACAAAAATGATTACTTGTAAAAATAAATGGGATCGTTAGAAAATACTGTTTACCATATAGTAGTCATTAAACACCAGTCCTATCAAATGTTTCTGATAGTTGTTATTATACTTAAAATGCCTCGTCTCTTCAATGTTATTAATAGAATGTCAGAGTAACAAACTAATAAAAATATCTACATTATATTTACAGAAGACGGCCGCAACGTTTCTCTTGATCATAATAGAAGAAAACAAATATCACATTTTTTTTTCTGATTAATCATCCCATCATCAGTAGAGGTCAAACCTACAACTATTTACTTTTATTTCTAAGATTGTCTTACTTTATTTTATCGGATATTTCCTTCACTAAATAAAAATGCGTCGACTTTATGTGGCGCGAATTTTTGTGTCTCACTTATAACTAAAAAAAAAATGTGTCGTATATTTTTCGCGTTCTGTCTGTCGACTAGTCGTTCACCGTTCAGCTATGAGCATACAGCGACATATGAACAGCATCGCTGAACGCATGAAAGATAAGTTTTCAAAATAAAATTTTGTTTTAAATTAATTCTTGATTGCTTTTCAATCAAGGAAATGCCATCCCGATCCATGATCTGGGAAGGACTACACTGGATGGTCTTATCGGAATAGGACCAATGCCAAATCAGTCAGATCTGAGGATCTGATGAGATTAAATTTTCAAAAAATAAGGAAATATATTAAATTAAATTCAGGAAATATTGAAATATGCGTTTCGAAAACGACCAATAGAAAATGTGTCGGGTGTGTTGTGAAAAATGCGTCGTCGTCTTGCTGGACAGAATGCGTCACAACGAGCAACTCGTGCCGTGCTTGAATGTGTCGTGCTTTGTGTCGTAATTTACGACACATCCGACACATTTTTATTTAGAGTGATGTAGTCAATTTAAATAAAAGCACGTTTTAACAGTTGATGATTTGACATATCCGTTTCCTTAGAGTTTTTCCATTGATAATATCAATACAACGATTTTTCTGCTTTTGTAAATAGCTGAAGGCATAAGTACTACATACTACAAAAAGTCGGAATGTATCGAAAGTTAACAATAATTGAATGTCTATGTTATATTCTTAACTTTATTATTCATATTGCATTTGCTGCTGTTGATGATAGAAACCAGTAAACTAATGTCAAGCAGACACAGGACAAGTAAAAATACAGCAATTAAAACTTCGAGTATTTTTTACTTAACACATGTACCTCGGACTTTACTTGAGTACGATATACTTAAGTACAACTGTACTTAGTACCGGTACTACAGTACATTTCTGCTAGTACTAGTACTAAGTACATCATTCAAGTACAAATTGATATACAGATACTAATTACAATAGTTTGAAGTTTAACATCTTTTATTTTGATCACCTGAGAACGTTTGTAATCGGAATTAAACGCTTAATGATAATTAGAATTATTGAATAACTTTATTTCCGATAATTAATTGGTACAATACAGTTTTAAGTATGATAATAATAATCACGAATAGAAAAAGACCGCTGGGATCGTAAAACTGAAGCTATTGAGAGATTCACTTACGTACATATGTCGAGTAAATTTTTCCACATTCTTATCTCGGTACATCATTAGAATATAAAAATATAAGTGAACAAGAGCTTCAGTGAAGAGTATATTTCGAATAAATTTTCGCTATATTATAAATTATTTCACTGGTTTTTATCAATTTTATTACATGCTATTTGAAATCAAGCTTTTACTCATCATTTTTGTGTTTATTTTCAAATTATTGAATGTTTTCTAATAAACAATCATAGCGGTAGGCATCACATTTTCAAAGAGGCTGCGACCAACGATAAATCACATTTCAGCTCATCTGGTATAGTGTAAGTCACTTTCACAGACAAAATACAAAGATATTTTTTGGAAGTGTGAATGAATAAGTGATTCATGAGCGTTCATTTTCCATAAACGAAATCTACAAAGAAGCAATTCTAATACTTCTTTTGTGTATACCTGTACAGACAAAATATCATACCGCAGAATAACATACCATCTAAGGGTAAACTAAACGCGAAAGAAAAATTCTATGCAACAATAATGGGGTACTTGTTTACGAGTTAAAAATACCGGCGAATCACGAACAGAGACCAATTTGTCTTATCCGAATTCGAGTATTAACCAAATACCAAGAGAATTTTTCAGAACGCAATTTACTTTGGAATTCAAGTAATTTCAATTCTACTGCAAAAAATTACTTTGTGCTTACAACTTTCTAAGAAAAAAGTACAAAAGAACGAAGTACTGTACCAAGTATGCATTGCCTGTGCATGTAGGATATCTTGGGTCTGGATTCGAATATTTCCTCAATGTATTCGCTCATACAGGGGACCGAAACCCAAATTAGAGGGAACAAGATAGAACTCAATGAGCTCTATCGAATGGTCGTCTTTATAGTGGCATTCAATAATTGGATGCCACCCCCCCCCCCCCCCCCCTCTAAAACGCGAACTCAGTGCTAAAACCTGAATTTTCCAGTAAAACCTGTCGCGATTTGCTGAGAGAGGGGACTAAACGCTGAAATTGGTACAGATAAATAGAACGCAACGAGATCTATCGAATGGACACATTTCCTACTCGATTTCATTCTTGGATCCCATCCGAAAGGGCAAATCCGTGTCTCAACCCTGGATATCTTCCACAAATGATAGCTGTTTCTATGAAGTCTTGCAAACGTATATGAGCAGGAATAATGAGGAACAATATTCTGCTGCAAAAGAGCACTGAATAATTTTTAATTGCTTTTTTCACAGAATTCAGCAAAAGATGCTGAGTTTCAATTCGAATCTAAAAGAAGCGTCAGTACATAAATTTACTTCGAGAATAAAAAATCGAGGGCTCATATAGTTAAAGCAAAAAGCAAAAGATGAATTTTATCCAATTCATAATTTATATATATATATATATCACGTCTAAGCTGGCTAATATTGTTCATCAACTGCATAAATCGTGCATCATACTGCTAAAATTATGGCTGCAATTCCTAGAGACATATATCTCGTCCCGCAGCACATACGCGACCTTCTAGATACATTAGCAAAGTTCCAGAAACTGAGCATCCTCTTCTAAAAAATATAGGGCTGTCATTCCTGAAAAACTAAAGCATGCACCTGGGAGGCTCAGGAGCGCTTCAAATTATCACTGCGCTCCTGGAATTAGCTTTATCTATGCCACTAGCATCGTAAGTACTGCGCCTAGCAATGTTAGAAATGGTACTAGCACTCGCAGGAATGCTACTGGCAATTTCAGGTTTGCTACTTTTATTTTCAGTTTTCCTTGAAGAGAACTAAGTTGTGACCGTAAGATACTCAATTGAGATAGGACGGTTGTGCTGATATTAACGGCACGCTTGAATGATTCTCCTTCCTCCTCTTTCTATTCTCTTTCCATTGTTCTAATACATCTCTCTCCTGTATATACGTGTGTTCTGTATGAAGTTGTTACACTCTGGACATGTGAAGAAGCGAATAAACATCATTGCCGAGAGTGGCGGTAAGCCACTCCACCTCTATCCAGTTTGTCATTAAATCCATCAACCTAACAG